CATACTGGCTGAAATACTATAAAAGAAACTTGGAGTTCTTCGAGGATCAGTTTGGATGTACCTCTGCCATTCCTAATATACGTAAATAACTTGCCAGAGAAAAATTGAATCATATTTAACACAGTATGTGGGCGATGTCAAAATGAGGCAGATGATAACCTTACACGGCAGGGATAAAGCGCAAGAGGACTCGACTATGCCGCAAGAGTGTGATCAGACGCATGGCTACTTGAATTCAAACCTGTAAGTGTAAAACATTTAGGAGAAAGTGTGACAAGGAATACGACGTAGAAAGTGAGGCGCTGTAGACACCGCGCAAGGAGAAAGATTTGGGAATAAGCTTAACGTTAAGCATAACACCATCTGCATATGCAAGACTAACCACCTAAGAATTACTTTAAGGAACCTGAATAAAAATTCATTTAGGGCATTAAACACAGCGTAGATGGTGTTGGCAATAAAATTGGCGCAAGGGAGGGGAGAAGTACCACGAGAAGAGGTTAAGAGAACTCAACCTGATGACACTAGAGGACAAGGGAACTGGTGGGAGGGATGTGATAACGATGTACAAAATACTGAGAGGAATTGAGAAGATGAGCATGCTGTAAGTTCAAAACTCAGGCTAGTCATAGGGATGTTAGGAAGTATTTCATCAACCTTAGAGTTGTCAGGGAGTGGGACAGTCTGGAGATCGAAGTAGTAAAGGTGGGATCCATAGTCCATACATAGCTTTAAGAAAAGTGCAAGGCTCTTGAGATCAGGAGAGAGTGGACCTAGTAGTGACCACCGAAGAGACGGGGCCGGGAGCTGTGAATCGACCCTTACAACCACATATATGTGAATACACACGCACGTACGTACGGAAGTTGTGGTGCTACAGCTCCCAGCAACCCCTCAAGGAAGGTTCCTTGATGTTGGTGAGGGGCTCTTGATTTAGGGAATTGGATCTGTGCTCCAGTTCCCCGAATTAAGCCTGAATGCCTTCCACATCCCCCCCCCCAGGCGCTGTATAATCCTCCGGGTTTAGCGCTTCCCCCTTGATTATAATAATAATAATACAGCTCCCAGCAGTGTCCATGTGTCTTGTTTAGTATGACGACAATGTTTGCACTCACTGCCAGAATTTATTTATCCCACGCAATTTCGTAGAGTAAACTTCATCTTGGTGGTTTGCTTTCATCTGGGAGGTCTCAAGTTTAGTGTGGGACAGTGTAGTACTCGAATTTCGAATTTGTTGTAATTCTCTTGTCAATGACATCTTAAAAACGGTCCTAATGTGGTGCATACCGAATCTCGCAGCAAGATCGATGTTTTTATTTAGGTAAATAGACGCATCTGCAATGTGCGGATATTTTGCCTAGGCTACGTTTCACTCATCGTGACCAAAATTTTTCAAGGCTTTTTGAAGTTCTCGGCGAGAGAAAAATAGCCTAAATAAAATATCTTGTCTAAACGTTGCAAATATGTCTATTTATCTTAATTCATTGTCAGTGTACATATACCATTTACAATCCCGTGTTATTACTGTATACGTAAAGTGAGGTATAGAGTACTAGCAAGAGTTAACTGGCTTATAATTACAAAGTACGTAAAATTAGACCTTAGGTTTTACAACAATAAGATAAGATTTCGTTCGGATTTTTAACCCCGGAGGGTTAGCCACCCAGGATAACCCAAGAAAGTCAGTGCGTCATCGAGGACTGTCTAACTTATTTCCATTGGGGTCCTTAATCTTGTCCCCCAGGATGCGACCCACACCAGTCGACTAACACCCAGGTACCTATTTGCTGCTAGGTGAACAGGACAACAGGTGTAAGGAAACGTGTCGAAATGTTTCCACCCGCCGGGAATCGAACCCGGGCCCTCCGTGTGTGAAGCGGGAGCTTTAGCCACCAGGCCACCGGGCCTTTTAGTGGAGCAAAAATTTTACCCACGGATCGTGTTACAACATAAAACTACTTATTAACTTGCGGAATAAGGAGTGGAATGGAGTGATTATCGCTGGACTTGCGAGCATGCATGTAGGCAGCATGGTAAACTCTGCCTTGTGTGCGTGTGGTATAAGGTGGAGCAGAGTTGTTGAGGCCATGACCGATATAAGTGGGTGGGAGGGAAGCGGCCCACTACTGCTGCCTACCCTCGGGCCAAACACCTCCCACATTATTCTCGCTGATTTTCACCAGTCCTTCCAAGGACAGTTTTTTGTCTCGCTGTTTTATTCCACATGTTTGAAGGTAGCTCAGTGCTGCTGGTCAACTTCCAAAACTAACCAAAGAAAATTACGCATATTTTGTTAAGCGGAAGAATGCAGACTAGGCTGCTTTTATTGATTAAACACTGAACTGTCAACAGTGTGAGATGAGTTGGTATGGGTGTCTCTTGTATAATATTAAGGTTAAAAGAGACAGCAAGCACTTGTGCGGATGTCTGCACCGCCTTATTTTATGATGCATCAGTAATTGCTGTGACCAGACTTGTTTCACACTCATGTTTGAAAAATAAATTGAATGAAGAACAAGGCTTAATTCACATTAACTTTGCAGAGGTATTAACTCTGGATAACCCAATAGGACCAGGGCACCCTACAAACAGTTGTCCTGATGCTGATAAAGGGCTGTTAATCCAGGAATTGGTTACCCTTCCCTTCCTTGGATCAAACCTGATTACCATTCATTCCCGACACTGACTTAGGGTTCAGTACTTCCCCGTGAATATAACAATAAGCATTAAGTAGGTACCTAGGCGTTTATCGACTGAAGGACGTGATTAAAGACCCCAGTGGAAATAAGACGGTCCTCGATGACAAACTTTCTTGGGTTTTCCTGGGGTGACAAACCCTCCGAGTTAAAATTTCAAATATTCTTTTCCTAAATTTTTGTCTTATTACGCTAAACTTTTATTTTTAGCACTCCTGCTCTCAGCTTGTATAATATTAAGTGTCAGTGACTTCACCTTGTGGTTGGGAATGTTTCTCTTATAGGTTAACACTTGTAATATGCACGTTAGACAGTGTGTTGCTTCATTCATGCGAAAACTTTTCACATTCACCCAAGACTGTTGCTCATTTGTAACGTTCAAAACACCTTGATCACGTAAATAGAAAAAAAAAAACCTGGCATTTATTTTTACTTATCCTGTGTTTTGTGCATAAAATAGTTTGTTTCAAAGTGACAACCTTTTCATACGCATTTAATTAAGTGCTTAAAGTGCGTCTACTTCTGGACGATGTAACCCGGCTACATAATATATTAGCTAACCTATCCTAATTTGACCTAACTGATTCGATATTCACGTAGAGTAAACCGCCAGTGAGTAAAATGTCATAAACGGGCAGGCAAGAGTACACACTGCAAGTTGAGTTTTATTACTCACATGCTGCGTGCTGCTAGCTCAAACAGCCTGACTGATCAGGCTATAAGCCAGAAGGCCTGATATATCGGGACAGAGCCTCGGAGACGATGACCACCAAAATCAACAGCAGGTATGTGTATGGAACAGGTATACCGCATACCAGTCCTTGGGCGGTAGTCAAAAAAAAAGTTTGCAGTCACATAATGGGTTCAGAGACTGGACATTGAAGATACTTAATTCCTTGCAAACCAAAAATGACCCATGCAGGTCTAGCGGTTTTTTTTTTTTTGCGTAAATTTAAAAATTCGTTGAAAACAATACATTGATTGTGTACTGCGTGAGGACGGTAGGGGAAGAGAAGGAAACCGTCACGCCATTAGTGAAGGGTTCACTGGGAACTGTTACCGTGTAAACATAAGAAAATGGTGACCAGGCCACGTACACGTGTGTACAGTTGGTTTCAGGCTATGTACGCACAGTTGTAACCTCCTAGCTGTGTTTGTAGGGTCGAGTCTCAGATCCTGGTTTCTTGAGCTGCTAAGTGGTTATAATTATGACCATAATTTTTAAAGGGGTGGTCAGACTAAAAGTTCCAACGGCGGGTCACCTGACTTAGACTCGCGTCAAGACACCCTTACCCTGTTTCCTGACAATCCTTACCTACCTAACCTTGAGCTCTTATCATGAAGCTGTGTGTGGAGCTTGTCTCCACCACTTCACCCTATAATAAAGTTCATTCCACATGTTTACCATCCTAAGACTGAAGAAGTATATCCTAGCATCCCTGTGGGTCATCTTTGTTTTTAGCTTCTATATATATTTCTGTATAGTCCTTGTGGCTTAGCGCTTCTTTTTGATTATAATAATAATAATTCTATATATATTCTCTTGCTCTTATGCCTCTCATTTCAGCTTATCTTGTCAAATCCACCGTAGCCCGGTGACAAAAGCTCTCGCTTCACACGCTGAGTGTCCGGGTTCAATTCCTGGTGAGGGTTGAAACATTGGGGGTGTTTCCTTACACCGGTTGTCTATGTTCACCATCAGTAAAATGGGTACCTGGGTATTAGTCGACTGGTGTGGGTTGTATCTTGGGATAAAACTGACCTAATTTGCCCGAAATGCTCTGCATAACGACAAGCACCTAAAGTCGGTTCCTGATCAGCCGGGCTGTGGCTCGTACGTTGGTTTGCGTGCAGCCAGCAGCAACAGCCTGGTTGATCAGGCTCTGATCCACCAGGAGGCCTGGTCACAGACTGGGCCGCGGGGGCGTTGACCCCCGGAACTCTATTCAGGTAAACTCCAGGTAAATAACAGTTGGCTTTCTATATAGACCCCTGGCTGTCTTCAAGAAGGCGCTGAGCGGGCACCTAAAGTCAGTACCTAACCAGCCGGGCTGTGGTTCGTACGTTGGGTTGCGTGCAGCCAACAGTAACAGCCTGGTTGATCAGGCCCTGATCCACCATGAGGCCTGGTCACAGACCGGGCTATGGGGGCATTGACCCCCAAAACCCTTTCCAGGTATTGTAGTATGTCATTGATGTCAGTTAGGCCTGTATACCTTGTACAAGTATGTATGTACTTGTAGAAATCAAGATACTATTATTGTTAATATTTTGAAGTAAAGGGACACATTTTTTCCGCAGTGCCACCAACAACAAGAGGATGAAGGAGCAAGTGGCTCTAGAGTTACAGTTTGTCAACAGCAACCTGCAGCTACTTAAGGAACAACTGACAGAACTGAACAGCTCTGTAGAGATCTACCAGGGCACGAGGTAAGTCTTTCACTACCATTCTGCTATTGATTTGTCTTGGTAATAAAAAAAAAAGTTGTATTATAGTACTTGACTGCCTATGTTTTCAGGGCTGAACAACTTTTTACCAATGATTCCACTCAGCCCAGTAAAATGTACAGTTTTTTTTTTTTTATAGAAATATTATCTGTGGTAAAGTAGCCCATAGGAAGTACAATACAGTACTAGCAGATTTTCATTAGTGCATATTATTTTGTTAAATAATATTCTCGACATTCCAGTAATAGCTTTTCTAATATTTAAATAACTTAGCATATCAGGATATAGTTAGAATTTATTAATAAAAGATAAGTGATAATTACAATAACATTATTCTTTTACCCCTTGTGTGCATATGTGTGTAGCTCGAAGAGTAGCATTCCAATGATCCCGCTGGGTCTCAAGGAAACCAAGGAGATCAACTTCAGAGAGCCCTTTAAGGTAATGTTCATGCTGCTCTCGATTGCTAAGATACTAATTTTTTAATATTTTATATTGTCTTTCTTCTTGCTAAAACTCCAGCTACTATAGTTTGCAGCTCAATCTTATACTTTTATGCTCAGTAGGTGAGTTTGGGTGCTGGATAAACATAAGCACTAGGTGTAAGGAGACATCCTCATACGTCTCTTCCCAACCAGAATGCAACCCACGACAGTCAACTAACACTTGGGTAAACATTCACTGCTTGGTGAATGGGGACAAAAGGTGTAAGCAAATTTTCCCATGTCTTGCCCTGACACAGAATCAAACCCAGGTTCCTTTGTGAATCAAATGCTCTATGTAACTAATGAGTCACTAGTGGTAGAACTTGTAGCTCACATCTGAAAGGAACCAGGTTTAATCTTCAGACAAGACTAGATGTATGAGGAAATTTCCTTACATCTTTTGTCCCTGTTCAACTACTGTAGCAGTAATAGATAAATCTGTTGAGAGTCACATCTTGGGCAAGGTGAGACATATGGGAAAGTTTCCTTACACATGCTGCCCCTATCCACCTAACAGTAAATGGGTACCTAGGTGTTAATCAATTGTTGTGGGTTATATTCTAGAGAAGAGGACCTACTCGTATACATAAATTTAAAATACTGTCTCGTCACGTTTTGAAATAATACAGGTTAACTAGTTTCACTCTATTTTAATTTTTATTAGAATTTTATTTTGAATTAATGGGATGATCTTAATATAGTATAATCTGAGTGTCCTTATTTCCATGTAACTATGATTTTATCTTCTTCATACACATTTGTTTATTCATGTAATATATTTTATTATGAAAGTCGTTATTGCCTTGTATGCATATATATAAAATACTATAGTCCTTCTAGAGACATAAGTTAGGTTTAAGCTTGCCTGAAATGCTCTGCATAACTAAGGGGCTTGCCATGTGAGAGAGGTAATGTCATCCAATTTTGTACTATGTATTATGTGGAAATAAATTGATTGAAAAGGACCCCAAAAGAAGTACAGTATGTCACACAGGTTATTATATAGCCATCCAGGGTTAATAGTCTGAATAATATAATACAAAATCTTCTTAATCTTCTTAATAAAGATTACACTTGAACAAAGCTTTGTCCAATAAAATCTGTTATTGCATTCTCTCTTTCTCTCTTTGAGTTTACTGTTTTAGTTTATGTAGTAGGCCAAGGTAAATGAATTTTGTAGGTAATGGTATCCAGTTATCATTCAGAAGACTATAGTCTGGGCCTGCTTTACAATGTTTTGCTAATGCAGCAGTTTTCATTTATGCCCATTCTTCGTTTATTTGGACTTCCTACAATAAAATATATTCACTCAGTATAAGCTTAGGACGAAAATATTTTAAGTATAATGTGTGTACTGTATATGTATTTTTTAGGCCTAGCTCTGTTGCTCACTTAATATATGATAATGTAAATCATATTATCAGGCTTTTATATGCATTTGAAAGTGAAAAAAAGGCTTATCTTGCACTTTACAACGATTTTTGCTTTACAGCAGTAGCCCAGAAACTAACCTTCTCTATGAGTGGGGCCTGCCTATATCTCAATTCTAGCATAGCTCATGTTGAAATATATATTTTAGAGATATTGTCATGCAAAAGCATCTTCTGTCCTCTTTTATTTACTGTTCAGTATTAATGTTTTTTTTTTAATATTTAAATTAATATGCAAAATAGATTGCTTTCAGTTATATTAATTTTTGTTGTGTGATGTAATATGATTTAGTTTGTATATTTTGTTTACCTCTCCATGGGGAAGTAGAGAAGAATCCTTCCTTCTTAAGCCATATGTGTTGTAAGCAGCAACTAAAATGCCAGGAGCAAGGGACTAGTAACCACTTTCCCTGTATAAATTACTAAATGTAAAAAAAAGAAAACTTTATGGAAGTGTTTCTTCTTTTTCGGGTCACCCAGCCTCGGTAGGAGATAGACAAAAAAAAAAAAAATAATAAATTTGTTTTTCTGCAGGACTTCATCTTGGAGCACTACAGTGAAGAACCAGATAAATATGACGAGGCAATCACAGAATTTATGGAACTCAGAGGGGTAAGTTGGAAATAGGTTAAGGCTGCACGACAGTGTGTTTTTTTTTTTTTTTATATATACACATTTTACAGTATGACTAGCTTCCAGTGGTCAATTGTAGAGATGCTAAGAGAGGTATGAGGGGTTATACACTATAATACTGTATCACTAGTCATAAAAGAGGTGTGTAGAGTTTTCCTATGTATACTACTGTACTAATCACTAGTGCTGTGTACAGTACTGCACTATGAATAGTGCTATGAGAGGTACATTATGTGGCAGTATACACTGTACTGCCAGTGAGTGATATATTTTAAGGTATGTAACTGAAAAAGGTGTATGACAGGGTGGATAGGGGGGTAATGTAGCAGATGTTGCAAATGTATGGAATAGGAGGTAGGTTATTGAAAGCAGTGAAGAGTTTTTACCAGGGTAGTGAGGCTCAGGTTAGAGTATGTAGGAGAGAGGGAGATTATTTCCCAGTAAAAGTAGGCCTTAGACAAGGATGTGTGATGTCACCATGCTTGTTCAGTATATTTATAGATGGGTTTATAAGAGAAGCGAATGCTCGGGTGTTAGCAAGAGGTGTGGAGTTAAAAGATAAAAAATCTAACACAGAGTGGAAGTTGTCACAGTTACTCTCTGCTGATGACACTGTGCTTTTGGGAGAGTCTGAAGAGAAGTTGCAGAGATTGGTGGATGAGTTTGGTAGGGTATGTAAAAGAAGAAAATTAAAAGTGAATATAGGAAAGAGTAAGGTGATGATAAAAAAAAATTAGGGAATGAAAGATTGGATATCTGATCAGAGGGAGAGAGTATGGAGGTGAATGTATTCAGATATTTAGGAATGGACATGTCAGCAGATGGGTCTGTGAAAGATGAGGTGAATCATAGAATTGACAAGGGGGAAAAAGGTGAATGGTGCATTGAGGAGTCTGTGGAGACAAAGAACTTTGTCCATGGAAGCAAAGAGGGGAATGTATGAGAGTATAGTTATACCAATGCTCTTATATGGGTGTGAAACATGGGTGGTGAATGTTGCAACAAGGAAAAGGCTGGAGGCAGTGGAGATGTTGTATCTGAGGGCAATGTGTGGTGTGAATACAATACAGAGAATTCATAGTTTGGAAATTAGGAGGTGTGGGAATACGAAAACAATTATGCAGAGAGCCAAGGAGGGGTTGTTGAGATTGTTTGGACATGTAGCGAGGACGGAACAAAATAGAATGACTTCAAGAGTATATAAATCTGTAGTGGAGGGAAGGCGGGGTAGAGGTCAGCCTAGGAAAGGTTGGAGGGAGGGGTAAAGGAGGCTTTGTGTACGAGGAGCTTTGACTAACAGCAAGCATGTGTTGAGCGTATTAGATGGGAGTGAATGGAGACTAATGGTTTTTGGGACTTGATGTGCTGTTGGAGTGTAAGCAGGGTAATATTTATGAAGGGATTCAGGGAAACCGGCAGGCTGGACTTGAGTCCTGGAGATGGGAAGTACAGTGCCTGCACTCTGAAGGAGGAGTGTTAATGTTACAATTTTATAACTGTAGTGTAAGCACACCTCAGGCAAGACAGTGCTGGAGTGAATGATGGTGAAAGTTTTTCTTATTCATGCCACCCTACCTTGGTGGGAAACAGCCTATGTGTTAATAAAAAAAATTATGAGGAAGCAGTCGAAATTGATTATCAGCACTGTCAGTGGAAGGGTATTTAGCACTAAGTGAACTGAAGTACCCAAACTGCATCCCAATGAAACTGGTGCCAGTATAAAAAGATGCATTATTGCTGCTGCCCTAGGTGATCTCCTAGTTCAGCTAATCTGCTAAGTCCAAAGAACAGTCCATGAAACTAGAATATAGTTGAGAAAGATGAATCATAATTTAGATCTGGAAAATATTGAACAGACTTAAAAATAGCCTTTTGCAACAGCAGGTGGCATGGTAGATGGTGCAAAATACTCCCAATGGAAAACAACTGGGTAGAAAAGAGACAACTCAGTAGATACATTTTAAAGCATTGAAGACTTCAATAATCTTCTTTCACATATATTTAATGGAATTACCAAAGGACTCTTGACTCTCCTCAAGGAATAAATTCCACATAAGTTTGGCTGTGGAGTCTACTTGAGAGTGCATGTAACAAGCACAAGCAGCCTAACTGATCAGGCCATTAACAGGAAAGTCTGGTTTCAAATGAGGAATTAAGGACCATCAAAAGCATCTAGAAATAACCTACAGTTTAAAGGGAATCAACTTCTGGTAATAAATGTTTTTTGAGTGTTTATGGGAACAAGACTGTGAATTTTTCTACTACACTACAGTATACTACGAGAGATTTTGGTCAACAAGATTTTGATGCAAGAAGTACTTCAACAATATTTCTTATGAAACCATTTTTTATTTGCAGGCTATGCGTACACCAGAGCGAGATGAGTCAGGGGTCGCTCTCTTGTTTGAGTATTTCAACCAACTGTATTTCATTGACAGACGTTTCTTCCCTCCAGATAGGTCCCTTGGCATATATTTTGAATGGTAATTGCCTAATGATTTGCTAAAAGTGGAATTGCAGTATAGTACGTACAGTGGTACCTCGAGTTTCGAACAGCTCCCAATTCAAACAATTATGTAAGTGTATTTTTGTAAGTGCTTTTGTAAGTGTATTTTTGGGGGTCTGAAATGGACTAATCTAATTTACATTATTCCTTATGGGAACAAATTCGTTTGGTATCGGCACTCGAACAGCCTTCTGGAATGAATTAAGTTCGTAACTCGAGGTACCACTGGACCTTATTTATTACAAAAATCCTGAGAAAAACAATTTCTGCATAATTAAAAGACAATGCTTTTTTTAATATTTTTATTGAGCTTGCCAAATGGCAGTATAAAATATTGAGGAGTTTTCTTTAAAAGTATTGGGTAATTTTTTATGGTAGTTACATTGTTTACATTTTATTTGTATTGACCAGTTCAGGAAATTTCCTTGGATATATTAATAATGTACTGAAATCATTAACCTTATAAGTACTATAGCTTCAAATGTTTTTTAAATAAATTATTGATTGGAAGTATTATAGAATTTCTCACTGTAATTATTATTTTTAAGATTGCTATGCCATGTATAGCATGTTTAAATGATCATAATTCTCTAAATACATAATGTAGATTTTTGTGACAAATTATTTAAACAGTTATACTCGTTACTTTTGTTTTAATTAATAGTGAAAACTATAGAGTAATGTTGACAATGATTTTGGTTATAGTTTGTGTAAGTAGCTCCATGTTGGGCTTATGTTCAATTGCAATACGTATTAAAATTTTGTTGAAAATGCTAAAAACTTGCATAAATAGATATTAAATTTACCAATACAGTATTCATATTTAACATTAATGATACTGTATATACATACCATCCTATTAATAATGCATGTAATACTCATGTTTTTCTGTTATGGCAGGTATGATTCACTGACAGGAACACCAAGCTGCCAAAGAACAGTTGCATTTGAAAAGGCATGTGTGCTTTTCAATCTTGGGTCACTGTACACACAACTTGGGGCTCGTCATGACAGGACCTCAGCTGCAGGACTGGATGCGGCGGTCAACAATTTCCTGCGGGCAGCAGGAATGTTTCGTTACCTTCATGACACATTCACAAATGCCCCATCCAAAGACCTTAGTCCAGAAGTTCTTGATATGCTCATTCATCTCATGTTGGTAAGTGTGAAGTACTGACCAATGTTTTTTATGTAACTTATGACCTCATGTTTGTGAATATGGAGCACAGTACTGTATTTGCCCTTTGTTTATATGTAACTTATTACCTTATGTTGGGGAGTATGAAGCCAAGTTATTTTTTTTTTTCAACAAGTTGGTCATCTCCCACTGAGGCAGGGTGACCCAAAAAGAAAATACTGTACTTTCATCATTCAACACTATCACTTCACTCACACATAATCACTGTCTTTGCACACGTGTCTAGATACAACAGTTTAGAAGTATATATAAAGATATATAACATACCCCTCCAAACTGCCACTATCCCAAACCCCTCCTTTAAAGTGCAGGCATTTCCAATACTCAAGTCCGGCTATATAAAAATAACCAGTTTCCCTGAATCCCTTCACTAAATATTACCCTGCTCACACTCCAACATCTCGTCAGGTCCCAAAAACCCTCATCTTCATGGACCCCTACCAATCCTTCCTTTCCCTACAGATTTATACGCTCTCCAAGTCATTCTACTTTGATCCATTCTCTCTAAATGACCAAACCACCTCAACAACCCCTCTTCAGCCCTCTGACTAAAACTTTTAGTAACTCCACACCTCCTAATTTCCACACACCGAATTCTCTGCATAATATTTAGACCACACATTGCCCTTAGACAGGACATCTCCACTGCCTCCAGCCGCTTCATTGCTGCAGCATTTGCAACCCAAGTTTCACACCCATATAAGAGTGTTGGTACCACTATACTTTTATACATTCCCTTCTTTGCCTCCATGGATAACGTTTTTTGTCTCCACAGATACCTCGATGCACCACTCGCCTTGTTTCCTTTATCAATTCTATGGTTAACCTCATCCTTCGTAAACCCATCCGCTTACAAGTCAACTCCCAAATATCTGAAAACATTCACTTCTTCCATACTCCCTCTCTCCAATGTGATATCCAATTTTTCTTTATCTAAATCATTTGATATCCTCATCACCTTACTCTTATCTATGTTCACTTTCAACTTTCTGCCTTTACACACCCTCCCAAACTCGTCCACTAACCTTTGCAACTTTTCTTTAGAATCTCCCATAAGCACAGTATCATCAGCAAAAAGTAACTGTCAACTCCCATTTTGTATTTGATTCCCCATAATTTAATCTCACCCCTCTCCCCAACACTTACTTCTTTTACAACACCATCTATAAATATATTAAACAACCATGGTGACATTACACACCCCTATCTAAGACCTACTTTTACCGGAAAGTAATCTCCCTCTCTTATACACACCCTAACCTGAGCCTCACTATCCTTATAAAAAGTCTTTACAGCAGTGTATAAGTGGAAGATAGGTATTAATAAAGGGGATATTAATAAGGTCTTGAGGATGTCTCTCCAAGAGAGAACCCGCAGTAATGGATTTAATTAGATAAGTTTAGATTTAGAAAGGACATAGGAAAGTATTGGTTTGGAAATAGGGTAGTTGATGAGTGGAACAGTCTACCTAGTTGGGTTATTGAGGCTGGGACTTTAGGTAGTTTCAAATTTAGGTTGGATAAGTACATGAGTGGGAGGGGTTGGATTTGAGTGGGACTTTCACATCAGAGCTTATTTCTTGGGTGGCATTGAAAATTGGGTTGGGCAAATGTTTTGTTAGTGGGATGAATTGTAAAGGACCTGCCTAGTATGGGCCAACAGGCCTCCTGCAGTGTTCCTTCTTTCTTATGTTCTTATGTATGTTATGTTCATTTATTAACTTACTACAATACCTATTCCATATACTTGCAACATATACCACATTGCTTCCCTGTCCACACTACCATATGCATATTCTAAATCCATAAATGCAATGAAAACTTCCCTACCTTTATCTAAATACTGTTCACATATATGCTTCAATGTAAACACTTGATCTACACATCCCCTACCCACTCTAAAGCCTCCTTGCTCATCTGCAATCCTACTCTCTGTCTTACCTCTAATTCTTTCAATAATAACCCTTCTTTTCCTGGTATACTCTGTAAACTTATTCCCCTGTAATTTTTACAATCTCTCTTGTCCCCCTTCCCTTTATATAAAGGAACTATACATGCTCTCTGCCAATCCCTAGGTACATTCTCCTCTTTCATACATTTATTAAACAAAAATACCAACCACTCCAACACTGTATCCCCCCCTGCTTTTAACATTTCTGTCATGGCCCCATCAGTTCCAGCTGCTTTACCCCCTTTCATTCTACGTAATCCTCATGCATCTCCCCCACACTCGCATCCTGCTTTTCTTCACTCCTAAAAGATGTTATACCTCCCTGGCCAGTGCATGAAATTACTGCCTCCCTTTCTTCATTGACATTTAAAATTTCCCTCAAAATATTCCTGCCATCTACCCAATACCTCCAGCTCCCCAAGTAAATACATACCTTTCATTTATAGGTGACTCATCACCTCATGCTGATGTATGTAAAGTATGGTACTTACTTTTGGTTCCTGTATATGTATCTTGTCACCTCTTGTTGACGAGTGTGGAGCACAGTACTTTTCTTACCTATTCACAACTCTATATAAAATTATTCTGTTGCATTATTTCAGAGTTTAAAGCTTTGATGCTGTTGGTAATTTTTTGGGGTTAAAAATTTGATGAGTTATATATATAAACTGTAGTGGAGGGTAGGAGGGGTTGGGGTTGTCCTAGGAAAGGATGGAGGGGGGGGGGTAAAAGCGGTTTTGTGTGCAAGGGGCTTGGACATGCAGCAGGCATGTGTGAGTGTGTTAGGAGTGAATGGAGATGAATGGTTTTTGGGACTTGATGAGCGGTTGGGGTGTGAGAAGTGTAATATTTTGCGAAGGGATTCAGGAAAACTGGTTAGCTGGACTTGAGTCCTGGAGGTGGGAAGTACAATGCCTGCACTTTACAGGAGGGGTTTGAGATATTGACTGTTTGGAGTGATATCACTGTCGTATCTGAGCACCTCTGCAAAGACGGTGATTATATGTGAATGATGGTGAAAGTGTCTCTTATTTTGGATCGCCCTGCCTTAGTGGGAGATAGCTGAAATGTTGAAAAAAAAATTATATAATGTTTATTTATTTTTTATTATCACACTGGCCGATTCCCACCAAGGCAGGGTGGCCTGAAAAAGAAAAACTTTCACCATCATTCACTCCATCACTGTCTTGCCAGAAGGGTGCTTTACACTACAGTTTTTAAACTGCAACATTAACACCCCTCCTTCAGAGTGCAGGCACTGTACTTCCCATCTCCAGGACTCAAGTCCGGCCTGCCAGTTTCCCTGAACCCCTTCATAAATGTTACTTTGCTCACACTCCAACAGCACGTCAAGTATTAAAAACCATTCGTCTCCATTCACTCCTATCAAACACGCTCACGCATGCCTGCTGGAAGTCCAAGCCCCTTGCACACAAAACCTCCTTTACCCCCTCCCTCCAACCTTTCCTAGGCTGACCCCTACCCCACCTTCCTTCCACTACAGACTGATACACTCTTGAAGTCATTCACACCCATATAAGAGCGTTGGTAAAACTATACTCTCATACATTCCCCTCTTTGCCTCCAAGGACAAAGTTCTTTGTCTCCACAGACTCCTAAGTGCACCACTCACCCTTTTCCCCTCATCAATTCTATGATTCACCTCATCTTTCATAGACCCATCCACTGACACGTCCACTCCCAAATATCTGAATACATTCACCTCCTCCATACCCTCTCCCTCCAATCTGATATCCAATCTTTCATCACCTAATCTTTTTGTTATCCTCATAACCTTACTCTTTCCTGTATTCACTTTTAATTTTCTTCTTTTGCATACCCTACCAAATTCATCCACCAATCTCTGCAACTTCTCTTCAGAATCTCCAAAGAGCACAGTGTCATCAGCAAAGAGCAACTGTGACAACTCCCACTTTGTGTGTGATTCTTTATCTTTTAACTCCACGCCTCTTGCCAAGACCCTCGCATTTACTTCTCTTACAACCCCATCTATAAATATATTAAACAACCACGGTGACATCACACATCCTTGTCTAAGGCCTACTTTTACTGGGAAATAATTTCCCTCTTTCCTACATAGTCTAACTTGAGCCTCACTATCCTCGTAAAAACTCTTCACTGCTTTCAGTAACCTACCTCCTACACCATACACCTGCAACATCTTCCACATTGCCCCCCTATCCACCCTGTCATATGCCTTTTCCAAATCCATAAATGCCACAAAGACCTCTTTAGCCTTATCTAAATACTGTTCACTTATATGTTTCACTGTAAACACCTGGTCCACACACCCCCTACCTTTCCTAAAGCCTCCTTGTTCATCTGCTATCCTATTCTCCGTCTTACTCTTAATTCTTTCAATAATAACTCTACCATACACTTTACCAGGTACACTCAACAAACTTATCCCCCTATAATTTTTGCACTCTCTTTTGTCCCCTTTGCCTTTATACAAAGGAACTATGCATGCTCTCTGCCAATCCCTAGGTACCTTACCCTCTTCCATAAATTTATTAAATAATTGCACCAACCACTCCAAAATTATATCCCCACCTGCTTTTAACATTTCTATCTTTATCCCATCAATCCCGACTGCCTTACCCCCTTTCATTTTACCTACTGCCTCACGAACTTCCCCCAACTCACAACTGGCTCTTCCTCACTCCTACAAGATGTTATTCCTCCTTGCCCTATACACGAAATCACAGCTTCCCTATCTTCATCAACATTTAACAATTCCTCAGAATATTCCCTCCATCTTCCCAATACCTCTAACTCTCCATTTAATAACTCTCCTCTCCTATTTTTAACTGACAAATCCATTTGTTCTCTAGGCTTCCTTAACTTGTTAATCTCACTCCAAAACTTTTTCTTATTTTCAACAAAATTTGTTGATAACATCTCACCCACTCTCTCATTTGCTCTCTTTTTACATTGCTTCACCACTCTCTTAACCTCTCTCTTTTTCTCCATATACTCTTCCCTCCTTGCATCACTTCTACTTTGTAAAAACTTCTCATATGCTAACTTTTTCTCCCTTACTACTCTCTTTACATCATCATTCCACCAATCGCTCCTCTACCCTCCCGCACCCACCTTCCTGTAACCACAAACTTCTGATGAACACTCCAACACTACATTTTTAAACCTACCCCATATCTCTTCGACCCCATTGCCTATGCTCTCATTAGCCCATCTGTCCTCCAATAGCTGTTTATATCTTACCCTAACTGCCTCCTCTTTTAGTTTATAAACCTTCACCTCTCTCTTCCCTGATGCTTCTATTATATAATGTATGAACAATATACTATGATAATCACTTTTGCTTAGGAAACTTGGCTGGAATGTTTGTTATTTTGGCATAATTAAGCTTAAGGTTTCTTGGTAGCAAGCGTATTCCTTACTATATTTTCACATGTGATAATGTATTCAGGCTCAGGCTCGGGAGTGTCTGCATGAAAAGGCACTGTTGGGCCACAGTGAAGACCTGGAGACTGTTGTGGAATTGTCGCAAGAGGCAGCACAGGTGGCACAAGTCTACTCACAGGTAACTCATTCATTCCTCTTTCCCATATTATCATGTAGGTGATAGTCACTCCATAGCCATCCTGTAGGCAGTAGCAAAATGATTAGAGGCATATAATGGGCCCAGGGAACCAATATTTGCAATATGTACTTGTCAGTAGTATGTATATATTGACAATTTGGAATAAAATGAGACACTAAAAAATATCGAAATGCTATATGTATGAGAATGTTTTGCTTGCTGTACAGTATAAACTTTCAAGTCAGTAAACAATACATGGGTTACAAAGTTTATATAACAGAGAGAAGAGTGAGGTGACTGGTCCAACTGAACCAGTTCATCATTGAAGTAAAAGCCTTGCCTAGCATGGGCCAGTAGGTCTGCTGCAATGCTTCTTCACTCTTAAGTACAGTGGAACCTTGGTGCACGAATAGCTCTGTACTCGAAGCTCATCACTCGACCAAACAAACACTACCTGCCAGAACTTCACTATTTCGTGTTTCTTAACATTCTATGGTTTTCTTTTATATTATTTGTATAAGTAAGTCACCATTGGGCCTACGAAGATTATTGATAACAGCCAATCAAAAAGAAAATTGGTTGCAAAGAATTTGTTAACGGATCGGCACTCAAACAGCCTTCTGGAATGAATTACGTTAGAGTACCAAGGTTCCACTGTACCCATGTTCTTGTATATCAGTCAAAATGTCATAAATGTTTTAAAGTGTCTCACAATACTATAATAAGTTGTTTACCAAAATAAGGGATTCTGCCACATACAGCACTTTATAATGGAGATGTGGTACCATAATAACTTATTAATTTCATCGAAGTTTGGACATTTACATTGTAGCATAAAAATTATAACTGCAATCAGAGTCATTCTTTGAGCACAGTTCATTTAGTTACAGATGCACATAGGCCAGGTAACTTGAGCCAGAAATGCTCTGTTGGTTAAGCAAGTTACAGTGGTAAAGAGCTACCTGGAGTACACAAAATTAGGATAATTAGTTACAAATTTTAGTAACACTATACTCTAATTTACCACAGTATTTTAGTTTGTAGGAAGAAAAGGCTAGCTCCTAGTTCTGCCGCTGTCAAGTGGCTGAGGTGAAACAGCTGTCATGTCAGTTTTTGAAGTCTGCTTCCTCTGGCATTGTTCAAGTCATTGCACTTCACAAGCCTTATATTAATGAAATGCTTTCTTATATCCTAACTCATTTTTGAAAGTAATTTTCAACCATAAGTTCTTACTTTTGTTTTGTCTATGGCAAGCCAGTCTTAAAACTAGCAGGCCAGTGTGCCATTCACTGTATTATGCCAGCCTAATAAGATTCAGACAGTAGATGTGACCACAAATGCAGGTTTTTACAGATGAATCTCACACCTACATGGCTATGGCTAGTTCTAGCTCAAATCCTAATTGTGCCCTTATAATTTTTTCCAACTTGTCTATGCACACTTTCTTTGTTCCTCCAGTGACAAAGCTCATTCCCATTAACTCAGGCACCAGTATGACTTTATGCACTCCTATGTACTTTTCAAGTTTCGAAGTACTGTACTTGGCTATTTATGGGTCCTGGGCTGAATTCCAACTCTTCGCCTTGCCTCTTATCAACTGTCTTTCAGTGCATCGACTGCATCCCACCGAGGCAGGGTAGCCCAAAAACAAAAACAAAAGTTTCTCTTTTTAACTTTAGTAATGTATACAGGAGAAGGGGTTACTAGCCCCTTGCTTCCCCTCTTATCAACTTCTTCTTTCAACAAACCGGCTGTATTCCACCAAGGCAGGGTAGCCCAAAAAGATAAACAAAAGTTTCTCTTTTTAACATTAGTATACATTAGTAATGTATACAGGAGAAAGGGTTACTAGCCCCTTGCTCCTGGCATTTTAGTCACCTCTTACAACACGCATGGCTTACGGAGGAAGAATTCTGTTCCACTTTCCCATGGAAATAAGAGGAAATAAAAAAGAACAAGAACTAGTAAGAAAATAAAAGAAAATTCAGAGGGGTGTGTATATATATATACTTGTACATGCATGTATAGTGTGATGTAAGTGTAAGTAGAAGTAGCAAGATGTACCTGAAATCTTGCATGTATATGAGACAGAAAAGACACCAGCAATCCTACCATTGTGTAAAACAATTACAGGCTTTCATTTTACACTCACTTGGCAGGATGGTAGTACCTCTTATCAACTGGTTTCACATATTTCCTGCTACATAGGCCCTGTCATATCTTTCCACAAGACAGTGCACAGTTGTTGTTTTTTCACCCCTCCTTGTCTAAATTTTTACACTTCCTGACTACCCTGAGGTTGGATAAGTACTCTGCTTTTAAACATTCCTGTAAATCTTTTGCCTTCTAGCTTGTTCTCATTCTCTAACTCAGTCTGGCCCTGTCTTAACCAGCCCTTTGAATATATGGTACACTGCTATAATATTATCTGTTTGTTTTACTATAAGGTTCCATATGGGTGCTGCAGATTCTAGGTCACATGTTGAAGTAAAGTGTTTTCAATGCATTTTTGTCTAGGTTCTTAAATGTACTTCGTTATACCTGGAGAGGGTTTCAGGGGTCAATGCCCCCACAGTCCAGTCTGTTTGTGGCAAGCTTCCCTGTACTGTTGGTGTTATTTTGTGTGTGCTTAGTATTCCCTATTCAGTCTCCTTTCCTCATCTCACAATTTAATTATTTTGCTTTTACTGTCATTAAAATTCAAAATCCATTCATTTGACCATTACTGAAGTTTGCCCAGGTCTTTCTGCAACCTTCTTTCTTGTTCACTTTGTATTCTTACCTGAAATTATAATAGTCTTGCTCTGTCTCACTTTTATGCTCATGATTTTAAGTGTTTCTTCTAGGATTAATTGTTAATAAAACCATTAGCTGTTAGGAATGCTCTGTATTTAAGATGAAACACCATAATTGATAGACCAGTAAACCAGAAAGTAAAAAAAAAAAAAAGTGATCATTGGAGCGTGTTTGACATCATGTAATTTCTCAGGTATTGACAACCATCTCTGATGCATCAGTAAAGGACTATGTACCAGCCTCATGGATCAGCATGGTGCACATAAAGATGGAATATTATCGAGGCCGTGCCCATTACCACATGGCTGAAGCACTGCTTACTTTACCTGTTGATGAAAAAGATCAGGAGCAACTTAGCATCAGGGTTCAAGATACTCTGCAGTTTGTCCACTTGTCTCCTGTCAGCAATACTACCTTGGATATTACTGTTCCAACAACCCATCAAGAACGTACCCTTCTCGGTATGTATGATGGTTGCCCTACTTTTGGTATCCTTAAATGTCTGTGTTTTTTGTTAAAAAATTTAAGATGTAAAATTTTAATGTGTGTATATTCTTTATTAATTAGTTGCACGACTTGTACAACTAATTAAGTAGTATAATACAATAGTTTGTGCTACAACCTAGCTCACCTTCTATTAATGTTCATGCACCATAAATTTTTAATTATTTTAAGAAAAGAATATTGGAGAGAGTTGTTTAAGTTGGCATCAGTTACTAAAAGCACACACAGAAGTGTGGAAGATAGATTGCCGAAGGATTTTGAATAATATATGCCAAAAGTATGTATATGTAGGGTGTGTAAAGGAAGAAAGTTGAAAGTGAACATTGTTAAGAGTAAAGTGATGAGGGTATCAAAGGAGTTAGGTAAAGAAAAATTGAATATCACATTGGAAAGAGGGAATATGGAAGGAGTGTGTGTGTTCATATGTTTGGGAGTAGACTTGTCAGCAGATATTATTATTATAATAATAAAAAAGAAGCGCTAAACCACAAGGGCTATACAGCGCTGCTGTCAGCAGATAGGTTTATGAAGGATGAGGCTAACCATATAATTGATGAAGAAGAAAGGGCGAGTGGTGCATTGAGGTATCTGTGGAGACAGCGTTATCCATGGAGGCAGAGAAGGGAATGTATGACTAACCATACCCCGGCCGGGATTGAACCCGCGGTCATAGTCTCAAAATTCCAGCCCGTCGCGTTAGCCACTAGACCAGCTAGCCACAATAAGATTCATCCAACTAGGTATATTTCTACACCATAGGAAGGTTAGCACAGGCACCACTGTGACCACAAATGCAAGTTTTTACAGACGAATCTCCAGCTAGCGTGGCCGTGACGAACTCTAGCTCAAGTCCCTTCACTGCCGTCAACATGACTCAAGAAATCGTAATGACACTATTGCAAACAAACCATACCCCCGGCCGGGAATGTATGAGAGTATAGGAGTACCAACACTTATATGGGTATGAAGCTTGGGTTGTAAATGCTGCAGGAAGGAGGAGGCTGGAGGCAGTGGAGACGCCTGTGAGGGCAATGTGTGGTGTAAATATTATACAGAGAATTCATAGTGTGGAAATTAGGAGTATGTGTGGAATTACTAAAAGTATTATTCAGAGGGCTGACGAGGGGTTGTTGAGGTGGTTTGATTACTTATAGAGGATGGAGCAAAGTAGGAATACTTGGGAGGTGTATAAATCTGTAGTGGAGGGGAGGGATAGGGGTCATCCTAGGAAAGGAGGGAGGGAGAGGTTTTGTGTGCAAGGGGCTTGGACATGCAGCAGGCATGTGTAAGCGTATTTGATAGGAGTGAATGGTTTTTGGGACCTGACAAGCTGTTGGAGTGTGAGCAGGGTAATATTTTGTGAAGGGATTTGGGGAAACAGTTTAGCTAGACTTGGAGTCCTGCACTTTAAAGGAGGGGTGACATCTAAACTGCTACATCTGAGCACCTCTTCAAAGACAGTGATATGTGAATGATGGTGAAAGTGTTTCTTTTTTGGGTCGCCCTGCCTCAATAGGAGACGGCCAACGTGCTAAAAAAAAAATGTGTAGGTGAGTGTATTTTCTTCGGAGAGAGAATTACAATCATATATCAATTACAGTCCTCTGGAACATGAGCCAGACTGGAGTCCTCGAGGTGGGAAGTAAGGAGCCTGCACTTTTAAGGAGAAATGGGGATGTTACAATTCAGAGAGTTATTTGATTTGCAATGTCTGTGCACTTGTACAATAAAATGCAGCTATTGAATGAATGATGGTGATTTATTTTTTTTTTTTCAAGGGGAGTGGGCACCTTGGCTTAGAATACAGCTGGTGGGGATTAAAAAAAAAAAAAATGGTGACTGGTTCAGTCTTAGTACTTATCTTTTATTATTTCACAAGGTCTGGCTCACTGTCGTGAGTCGGTACTAGTTCATGAGGAGGCAATGCGACAGCAACGGATGTGTCGGGACCTTAAGAAAAAATCTGCTCTGTCTGAAGTGCTATGCTTTGGCCACGAAGCTGCAGTCCACCTTCTTGATCTTTATGAAGAAGAAGAAGATCTGCTCAATGTTCTGGACCCACCACCCATTGCACGTAAGTTGCCAAAACTGGAGATGGAATTCAAGACTAATTTGTTCTCATTAAATGATCTTGTAATTAGGAAAATATCCTTCATGGGCTCATATACATAAACAGTGTGATTAAATTAAGCACCAAGTACTAAACCCATAGGGGGTCACACAGTTCCTAGGAGCATTCTGGTTTGATCCAAAGAAAGGGAGGATAAGTGTAGTTCTTGGATGAAATATTCATTTACCCTTACAAAATATAAGGGATCTGTTGTATGTGTAATATGATAATTAAACAGCTTTTATTGTTTAATTCACTGTTGTATTTAAAATTCAAGTTAGTAAACACTAGTTTATTTGTCAATTAATACTGAGCTATATGTTAATGGCAATGGACTTTTCAGAAGATCTGTAATGGTGAAAAGCTTCCATTTACTTTTACAGCGGCAACAAAGATCCAGTTATCTCTCACTGCTCCGGACTTCTCACAGTATCGTGTAGAGGACGTGTTTAAGCTGTTGGGACCAGTGGCTGTGTTCTCTGCAAAGCATCAGTGGTCAGCACCACGGCCCATCTCAATAACTCGAACACCAACTCAAGGTTTTGGATTCTCAGTGAGGGGGGATGCACCTGTGGTAATAGCTGGTGTTGACAGAGGCAGCCTGGCAGAGGTATGAATAATTATTATTACAGAATTGTCACATACACATACATAAATATAAATACAGAAAACTGATTCCAGATAGTGTGATCTGAACATATTGGCAGTTTATGTTCTAAACAGTACATTTCATTGCCCTGTTGAAAAGATGACTACAGTTGATCCCTGACTTAGGATGTTCAATTTTTGTCTTTGGAACCAATTAATGGCTTAGGAACATGGACTCGCTCTTCTGACATGCAAAACTACTTACTGAATTATTTTTTTTTTTATATAAATTTACCATGTGCATGTTTGAAATGGAAAAAAAAAAGTTCATTTTTCATTGGCAGAACTGCTAATATTTTCTTTTTGTCTGATGGACACTTAAAATAGCAAGGAAATTTTACAAGCTTCCACCTGCATTTAGTATATACAGTGGTACCCCGAGTTTCGGCCATAATTCGTTACAGAAGGCTGTTCGAGTGCCGTTACCGAATGAATATGTTCCCATAAGTAATAATGTAAATTAATTAATCCGTTTCAGACCCCTAAAAATACACTTACAATCATACACTTACATAATTGTTCAAGTTGGGAGTTGTACGAAACTCAGGGTACCACTGTACATACCTTCACTTTCATATATGCTTCTTAATCCTGTAATATTGACTTTCCACCATAGGTCTGGTCTGAAACCAGGCCATAGTGGAGATAATGTCCAGTGCAACTAACAGAAAGCTAATATTTAACACAGCTATTTAAGTACAATATTAGAGGCCAAAAATTGAAAACCATGAGTGGTAGAAGGCAGCTGGTTACACTGTCAGATCTAACCTTGTGGTGTTTAAACCCTGCTATACCACTTATATTCAACAGTGTTACCAGTGTCAATATCACGCTGAGAATTTGGAGGGGTGTTAATGTTGCAGTTTAAAAACTGTAGTGTAAAGCACCCTTCTGGCAAGACAGTGATGGAGTGAATGATGGTGAAAGTTTTTCTTTTTCGGGCCACCCTGCCTTGGTGGGAATCGGCCAGTGTGATAATAATAATAATAAATAAATAAATTAAAAAGCAATGTGGGGTGACCAGTATTATAATTCAGAGAGCAGAAGAGGGATTGTTAAGGTTATTTGCTCATGTAGAGAGGATGGACAAAGATAGGTTGGTGAAGAGGGGTGTATAAATTAGGGTGAGAGGTAAAATTGGGAAGGGTTGCCCAAGGAATGATTGGAGAGAGGCAACTGAGTGTTAGGGGCTTGAGCATCCAGCAGGCTTGTGAGAGCATGTTTGAAGTGAATGGGGACAAGTGATTTTAATGTATATGCTGTTGGACTGTGAGCAGGCTAACTACCATGAAGGGATTCAGAGAAACTGGTTAGCTGGATTTGAGTCCTACCTTGGCAAGAGATGGCTGGGGTTAAAAAAAAAAAAAAAAAAAAAAAAAAAATTATTAAAACCCTGATTTGGCAGTAGTGGCATTGTATTATTACATTCGTGTGGGGGGGAGGGAGTAACACTTAACCCATAGGGGTCACACAGTGCCCTGGGAAGAGATGGGAGACAATCAGGTTTAGTTCAAGGCAGGGAAGGTCAGGTCCAGTTTCCTGGATTAGTGTGTCCCTATCTGGCATCAAGGAACATCCCTTGAGGTGGGGCAATACAGTAGTTATAGATGAGTGGAATGTGACCAGGATCTCCCTAGCATGGCAAGTAGGCCTACTGTAGCATTTTGTAAATTTTTATTATCAAAAAGAAGCGCTAAACCACAAGGGTGAGTGTTTTGTAAATATAATATGATGTTCTTGACTATAGGAATTACAGTTTATAGATTTCAGCCCTTCAGAAATATTACCCATGAATAAGTTGACCCCCTACTTTTTTGCCAACAAATTTGGCCTTGTGGAAATGAGACACCTATACAACACTCTGAACATTTGGACCTTGACATATACTATATATACAGCAATGTTTTACCTGGCACAAAATTGAAAGTTTGTTCAGCAAATTTGGAGAGGGTTGAAATGAAATCCTAGTCTCTCCACATAGTCTTCTTCACTATTGTATTTTACTTTACACACAAATTTTGAGTAACATAACCCCACAGATTCCAAGAGGGTATATACTATAATTGTTTTACATGGCACATACTTCAGAGTAGAATGCATCCTTAATATAATTTATTTGATGTGGTCATGTCCATATTTTAAGGTGGTATTTGGGGTGTCTTGCAGGAATGCAACCCCTAAATTTACTCTTCACCTATTTATTTTATCTTTGATATTATAATGTTATTTGCTGAAAACTTTTCTTTATTCATTAGAGAGCTGGGATGAATGAGGGCGATTTGGTAGTGTGCATTGGGACCCGTGACGTGAAGTGGCTGCCACACGACGAGGTAGTTGGCCTCATTCGTGATGCAGGCAACACACTCAGTTTAACCTTAGTTACACCTTGTGATAAGAACTATTATAAATTGCCAAAAGTAAGTACAATACCTGACTTTTTAAGTCCTAAATATTTTTAATGAAGTATGCACTTATGTATATATGGGGTGTATATACAGTTGGACTATGTCTCCTGGTACAGACACTAAGTTGTGATAGTGTTTTCTTAAGGGCTATAGTAAAAAATGGTCAATGTATTTAATAAAGTGTTTTGTTATTCTAGCTACTCAGTTTGTCACCTTTCATGTTGGTGCTATTCTTTGCCACCTCTGTATGGCTGTAAAAACACTTTCTGATTATGTACTTTGCACTGTTAAGTTGTTGGACAATTCTCATTTTTAACTTGTCACCAAGCTTATCTTCACATTATTCCCAAATTAGGTAGCTGAGAAGTGAACATATGATAAGTAAGCACAATTTTCAGTAATTAAAGATTGTAGTAACTATCAAATTAAATAAACTAAACCACAATTTGGAGAAAACCTTGTTTTAAACAATGTTTCGATCCATACTGGACCATAATTAATATTAACTAAGGCTACTTCCTCATTAGTAGGTTAGGTAGGATTTGTTCCACTCACAGTATTAACTTTCTTCAAAGCTAAATATTTTGTATGACATTTTCTGTAATTATGTTATTCTCATAATATTGTTCTTGTATTATTTGCAGAGTTTTAATGTATTGTAGGTTAATAATGCATTGAGGTTATTACCATGCATCTCTCTTGGTCTTCCTATCTGTTTGGTATAAATCTCATTATTAACTAGGAATGTGCCAAAGTATCAGCATTGTTGGTATCAGCTGATTTTGATATCAATATTTGTTTAAAATTGAGCATTGGTATTGAGGAGTATTAGATAATTGTGATGGCTTAAAATTTCTTGTTCCATCCCTACTATTAATGTATCTGTTGATTAGTTCTATGATCCGGTAACAATGAGCTAAAATGCTAAAATGTCATTTCTGGTATGCTTTGCCACCTGAGATGGCCATAATTACAGATCTTATCACTGAGGGCAGTGGTTAACCCTTTGACTGTCGCGGCCATATATATATGTCTTACGAGGTACCGTGTTTGACGTATATATACTCATAAATTCTAGCGGCTTCAAATCAAGCAGGAGAAAGCTGGTAGGCCCACATGTGAGAGAATGGGTCTCTGTGGTCAGTGTGCAACACATAAAAAAAATCCTGGAGCATGCAGTGCATAATGAGAAAAAAAAGAAACTCCGACCATTTTTTTAAATTAAAGTGCCGACTTTGTGGTCTATTTTCGTATAGTATTTATGGTTGTATTCTCATTTTCTTGGTCTCATTTGATAGAATGGAAAACATATTATAGAAGTAGAGGTGATTTTGATTGATTTTACTATAAAAAGAACCTGGAAATGGAGCTCAAAGTAGGGAAAATGTTTGATTTTTGCCAATGTTCAAAAGTAAACAAATGATGTCATTGTCCAATAAATGTCCAACTAGCCATTCTAATATGCAGTCATGAATGGGTTGATGTTATTTATACAATTATTACAGTATTGCAGTAGTCTGCATAATAGTAAGTCTTCTATTTTTTGTCTGAATAAAAATTCAAAATAGAAAGCAAGAGTAATATCAGAGGGGCCTGAAGACATGACTAATGAACAAAGAAAATGTTATTTTAGAGCCAGGAATGTCTGCATTGTTCATTCTGGACCTTATTTTGAAATTGTCATATTTTTTAATTTTCGTGAAATTGGCCAAATTGCAAATTTCTGACCATGTTATTGGGTAGTTGAAATTGGTAAATGGGCAGTTTCTTGTACTCAATCGATAGAAAAAATGGAGTTTTAAAGAAATAGCTATGAGTTTGGTCGACTGGAACAATGGAATTAGCCGAAAATAGGGCTCAAAGTGGGCGAAATCGCCGAGGTCGCTAACTTCGCGAGAGCATAACTCCATCAGTTTTCCATCAAATTTCGTTTTTTTTGGTGTCATTACAATCGGGAAAAGATTTTCTATCATTTCATAAGAAAAAATAATTTTTTTTTTTCTAAATTTTGCAACACCAGGAGACACCTCAGGATTGGGGGTTGCGACAGTCAAAGGGTTAAATACCTTGGCAAATTGAGCCTACATTGTTTCACACAAATACATACATACACTCTTAATTACTTAACATTTATATTCCATATCTATCCACCCAGTATATTCTAAAATACCTTGTATTTTACAGAGCAAAAGTCTTAAGGACATTTCACCACACTCTACCACCAGCAGTAGCAGTGGAGTTAGCAGCAGTAGTAGCAACAGTAGCCATTTTGGCTCGGTTAACAGTTCTACTCTATCAGCCAAAGACAAGGATAAACGCAACAGCTGGAATCCTTTCAAGCGATCAACATCACGAGATAAACTAAAGTCAGATTCTCTTATAGACTGCAATGTTATTTTACGATAATTGGACTTGATGCAGAAGTTCCATTGTTAACACAGTAGCACATTCAGAATTGTTGTTACCAAAACCTCAAATACTGCATGTGCTGTTGTGGAGGTTCCTATTTTTTTCACGTTTTAGTAAGTGAAGGAGCAAAATTGCTATGTAATTGTGTGTGCAACTTAAGCTGCTGGCCCTGCCTTTGACCAATTGATGCAAGACTTGGATACTTATATTTCTCTTTAGGCAGAATGTGACAGACTTATTTGGCAAGATCATTTTGCTGGACAAATTGAACTGTAGTTAAATCTGAAATTTAACTTCACAAAATGTGTACAGTACATCACAAAAGGAAATGTACTCTTTTCATTGATTAAAAATATTACTAACAGAATTTAGTCTGATATTACAGAATTTCATGTAAGGTTAGGTTGCTGAGTTCAGTTTTGGTGCAGTTCTAAAAAATTGCATACCATTTACAATATTATCCTGGAATAACTATTTATCCCTAAGTTAAAATTGGGCTTGTATGGTCATTCTCACTAAACAGTTGTGACATGTCATTCATATTGTAGTACCATATATACTATACTGTATCTGTTTTACATTTTCACTTTGCTGCTATATTCAAATATACCTGAATAAATATTTACAGCTTTTGACAGCACAACTTTACATTGGCGAAGTTGTGTGTACCTTTGCATGCCAGAGAATGTAATAAAACATTTAGTGTTACAAGGTCTGCTTGTACTATTTTGGCTGATATCAGATAGAGAGTGGAGTTGCTTATTTACACCAAGACAGTGATAGTGAATATGATGGAAATAATCATGATAATGATTTTGATACAGGATCAACCAGTCTACATGTCAGCTGCATGTAACTGGACCTCGTACTGATTTTCATTATGAACCTAATTTGTCACTTTTTTTGTTGAATTTTCCAGTTATTTAATGATTTAACTACCCAGCATTTTTCAAGGAAAATTAATGCTAAATATACAAAATACATTCATGGCCTACAAGTGAAGCAAATCCAAAAAATTGTGCAGTGAAAGTCAAGCAAACAAGCCAAATTTTCCTGAATACACACTTTTTTTTTTTTTTTTTTAAATCTCCGAGTGATGACCTGTTTGTGCTGAGCACTGGTTTTCAAATATTAATTGTGGTATTCACATGTGTTGTATGCAAATGTATTTGTTATTCACTAAAATTAACATGACAACCTTGCTAAAAATTTTGTACAATACTATAGCTTACCAGTAATCCTACCTAACAAATCAAAAATAGACAGCTTAGTTTGTTATTTAACAGAAGTTAAATTTGTGATGTGAAAACCCTATTGCAGAAATTAACTCTATAAAAATTTCAAACTGGGCTTATCAAAAGTTCTTGCCACAAGCCAATTTAACATTTATTAGAAAACGGCACACTACAGCATATATTGTTAAAAAGATTCACTTTCCAAGATTTGTGCACCAACTGCAAATTAGCAAGCTCTCATAATTAACGTACTCCATTCATGTGATGCCGAACCAGGTGTCATATTAATTATGGTTGATACTTAAGAGGCTTTTTACCCATCAAGAGTTGAAGATGGGATAAATTTGCAACTGCCATAGATTACAGAAAAATTTAGATACAATTTTAACAGTCATATTCTGAAATGTACTTTAGTTAAATACATTTGGCTCCTGAACAAAATTTGTCCTATTTTGAAACCACTTAAACATATTTTAAGTACTTAAATTGTGCTATAATAGTCACATTTCATGATAGCTGGTAAAGGTTGAATTTTAATCATATTTACTGATCATCAAGCTTTAAATTATGAAATGTGATGCTAGCATCGATATTAATTTATGAAGAATTCTGCATGCTGTTTTTAGCAAACATATATGTTGCTTCCTTCTGAAGCACAAAAATACATACTGATTTTGTATAAATACTGTATACCTAAGGAAGATGCTGAAGTGAGAAAGATTTTAACACCACACCTGATGCAGGCATGCAATTGGACTATGACAGACTATAGAGCTCATTTTTTTCACTTCTTCCATACTCCCTCCCTCAAATGTGATATCCAATTTTTCTTTATCTAAAGCATTTCTACCTTTACACACCCTCCCAAATTTGTCCACTAACTTTTGCAGATTTTCTTTAGAATCACCCCAAAAGCACAGTATCATGGTCAAAATGTAACCATGTCAACCCCCATTTTGTATTTGATTCCCCATAATTTAATCCCACCCCTCTCCCCAACACCCTAGCATTTACTTTTACAACCCCATCTATAAATATGTTAACCATGGTGACATTACACATCCCTGTCTAAGACCTACTTTTACTGGGAAGTAATCTCCCTCCCTCCTAACCTGAGCCTCACTATCCTCAAAAACTCTTAGCATTTAGTAACTTACTACCTATTCCATACACTTGCAGCATCTGCCACATTGCTCCCCTATCCACTATCAAGAACTTATTATCCAATACAGTTACCATTACACCAAAATTCTTACCTCATCTTACTTTAGTGATTTAAAAATACATTTGATCTAATCCATATCCTTAGTTATTGATTATACAGCCTTGTATTCATGGTTTGCTTGCCAATATTGTATCTAGTGTCACATCATGCAAGTCATATAAGATATTGTAGGGTGAAGTTTATATCATTTTTGCATATACAGTACTTGATTTGATATTCAAATCATGAGTATTATAAAGGAACTTGAACCAAACCAACAATTGGTTTGAATTAATATCTGCATTTAAAACACCGCTATATATAATCTACATTGTAACACATTTTGTTCTACTGTATATTCACAGATACCTCGAGGGAGGTGCCTTGATGCCAATGTAGGGCCTCTAGATCCCAGAAATTGGGCTATCCTCCCTTTCCTTTGATTTAATCTAATTGCTTACCGTTACCTCAGGCAGTGTATGACCAACAAATTTACCCTTTTTTAAATTTAGGGAAAGTGTTAAACCTTTGTGGGTCATACAGCACCTAAAGAAATGGGAGGCAATCAAGTTTGGTCCATGGAAGGGAGGGACACATCCAGTTTTTTGAATTTTGAGCCCTCAATGGCATCAATACCTTCTTTGAGGGGCCCTACGGGTTTTAATGCTCCCCTGATAACTGTAATAATAATACCGTAATCTCTGTCCAGACGAGTATTTTACATTGTTTAAATTCTTAAAACAGAATATTTTGCCATACATTATACCACAAGATGTTTGTTTTAAGCAAAAAATTGCGCATTACTTGTAATGAGTTTTACTTTTCATACTAAAAGCTTTTCTTCAGTTTTTTGTTCTTTATATTGAATTTTTGGAAGGTAATTGTCATATTGGTATTGTATGTAAACCAATTATTATAATTAGAAGTAACATGTTTGTGAGGAATGTGTTGGAAGAAAACTATCTTGGTTTAAAATAATTGTAAATGTAAACAACTTGATATACCATTAGTAAACTAGTTTCAGAACTCCTTGTCTGTTTGTATGTATCTATATATGTATATACACCACACACAGTAAAACTTCTATTTAATGAACTTTGGAAATACAGGACAAAACATACTGGGTCTATTGGTTAAGAAACAACGAACAAAGTATGTGGTTATATGATAGTTTTATCATTATGATTGCCACCTTCTTTTTGATTATAATAATATGATTGCCACTAAACAATCTGCTCTGTCCATCACGATCACCATTACTGACCAACTGCTCCCCCTTCCCCCTTAGTTTTAAATCATGGGTTTACTTGCCTATGTGGTTGTAGGGATTGATTCTTAGGTCCTGGCCCTGCCTCTCAACTTGCCAGATTTACTCCCAACTAGCCTCCTGGGCCTTATACCTGCTCTTAAAATTATATATAGAGCCTGTTTCCTTCACTTTTGAGGTCATCCCACTTCCCAACCACTTTCAAACAGCCTGTCCCTGTATGTTTTTATGAATTGTGTGTGTATATAAATTTCAAGTGAATTAGTCTGTGCTATGGGATGTCTGTATACTTTACATTTGTATTGCACAGTTGTGAGAGTAACGGCCTGAATGATGGTCACCAGGTCCAGCACATCCAATAAATTTTTTTTTTACAATCTACACCAGGGCTGAATTGTTAATGAAAAACTAATAATAGTGATTGAAAAAAAAGCTTATGTCAGTTTACAAAGCTATTCCCACTATTACCGGAAAGTGGCATTAGATTAGACATAACCATACACTTGATTTATCATTAGTTGTATAGCTCATGACTTGCAGTAGTGCACTCTATCTACTATTTTCTTGAATCAGCATGGATTTTATAGCCAGTCATGTAGTTAAGTTTCAAAATTACATGTACACACTGTATACTTGACTCATAAAATCATAACTGAATGGAGGGTGACAACCCATGGCAAGCTGGTCTTAAAATCAGCAGGCCAGATTGCTATCCATTGTACCATGCAGACTTCAGAATCATTCAATCTTATTAGGCTGACATAGTACAGTGGATAGTGTACTGGCTTGCTAGTTTTAGGACTAGCTTGCCACGAGTTCCAACCCTCATAGTTACTGCATATATATTTTTTTCTTAAGATATATTTCATCTTGTCTTCTGTAAATAAGTCATCACTTCCTTTTCCATATATAACTGTACTTATCTACTTCATGTTAGTTAAATGTTTATAATTGTTTGTATATATATGTAAATTGCTGTAAATGCATAATAATTTTGCTTCAATGTGTATTAATGTTGAAAATATATAGTATATTTTTAATTTTTGCCATTGTAATATAAGGGAAAATTATAAATTATTTTAGTGATTTGAATTGTGCTGACATGTAACTAATGCAAAAATAACCATTTACATAATGTGACTTGTACATAATAAAATAATTAAAATAAAATGTATTTCTTTTAACATAAGTGGTGAGAGATCATAGGTGGCACCTATATTTTTTTTTTTTTTTGTAAAGTACAGTAGTCCTGGGTTATGATTTATCCTCAAAGAAATTTGGTTTAGAGTTGTGATGGAAAACTTAATATATGATATGTATACGATGGTCGGCATGCTTGGGCAGGCCTCAGACCAGAGACAAAACAGGGCGAAAGTGATGGAGGGTGGCAAGCAGAGGAGGAAGACTATGTATACAAGTTGTGGGTGGTGAGAAACTAACAGAAAAAAAGTGTAAATATTAAATGTTAAGTCTGTGACTCTTGATTAATCTTTACCTGCCCTGCCCTTCCTGTTACCTTGCCTTACTCTACCTGCCCCAGCCTGCTATGCCTTGGTCTGTCTTATTTGCCCTGTCTTGTGGTCTGCCTGCCAGTTCTGGCCTACCTCCCCTTCTCAACACCATTACTGCACCAACTCTTCAAGTAACGTCGCACTTCCGGGGTCTTAGAACGAATTACCACAAAACCACGTATTTTGGGGTTTTAGTTACGACAGCTTTGAGGTACTATACAAGTGACCACTACATTATAGTATACAGAGATTATACTACTCTAACTATATTATGTACACCATTCCCTTTAAGAAAGGCACACTGATGCAGGAGATTATTACATTCATGGGATGACAGTACTAAACCCATAGAAATCATAAAGTACCTCAGGGAATGGGAGGCAATTGGGTTCAGCCCAAGCAGGGAAGGTAATGCCCAATTCCTTGTTTAACCCCCTCCCCCTCCCCCTCCTCACTGGACAAAAACCTCCCTTGAAGGGTAATGCTGAAGGGCTATTGATCCAAAGAGTTTGAGCTACCCTCTTTTGCCTTGGAATTTGACTGCCTCCAATTCCTCGAGATACTGTGTGGACTCTACCGGTTTAGCACTCTTGCCACAAAATCAATACGTACACCATTCTGGACAAATTTAAAGCACAAATATGAATTTTCATAAAATTTTGAAGAGGTAGTTTTTTAATATTTAGAATTTAACACTTTGGTTATTTTTAGAAAAGCAATCCAAATGTTTAATTCCAAAAAATAATATAATTTATGTAAAACAAAAATATGAAGGTTGGATAATGGATTTCCAAAATCCTCTAAATTTGCCCAACTACTTTTTGTCAAATGTACTAGATAAAAATTGCTAGTTTAACTCACAATCTGGTAGTGTTTACTTCTTGACATGTAAGAGGGTTGATTAAGCCTACTGAGCTGAGGCATGTGGCTATGGCTCTTGCAATGTGGATTCAGAGATGTCAGGAACTGATTGTAGTACTGGAGTGCTCATATTCTGTGGGGCATCTCTGGGCTATTTTACTCTGTATTACTGTGTGACCCTTACAGGTTTAGCACTTAATTATAATAAAATAATCTGCAGTACTGGTGATATTGCTTGCTTTAGATTCCACTACATGCCAAGGCTTCTTGACTTATCAGAATCCTTTTCAGTGAAAAAGACCACAACTTTACCACTAACATGGAAATGCTCACTAACTCCTACAGTGCTAACTGTATCTTCAAGCTCTTCCTCATCCTCTTGTTATCTGGCTCTCTTTTCTAGGCATTGAGCTCCTTTGGCAATTCTTATGTAGTTGGTTCTTCATCCTCTAACAGCTTGTAGTTTTCTAAAAATCACAAGAATTCATCCCTTGCAACAATTCTGAATTGCTCTATATAGGCTAGACTGGATTCTGTGTAAAAGAAAAAAACGATTGAGCACATGCAATCAATTAGATACAGCCTGGAAGGAATGGCTATCTTATAACACATAAAGCTTCTCAACCACACCATGAATTGGAATGAAGTTAACCTCACACACAAAACTGACAGCCCACATAAATGATGATGAAATCAGCACTCAGAATCCAAGGTAAATTTCAACATATCTAAAAGCCAGTCGAGACCAAATCAAATTAGCAAGTTTGTACTGAAAATTACATTCCAGCACCTAACTTCATTATACTATATAATTTTTTACCTCAACAGCCACACAAATATGTGGAGATTACTGTATAGTACATTAATCATAAGAAAAAACTCACTTTTGATGATTTCCATAAGCCAGCAAGATGATTCCTTTGTAGAATCAAGTGTCAGAGGTGCTGGTTATGATGGTGCCTGAAGTACTGGGTAGAGTATACAATAATAAAAATAAACAACAGTACTAGGTGAAGTGCTGACTGTTGTAAAGAAGTCTGATGAACCTCTGCCTGGCTGAGTGCTGAAGTTTTTGGTAGAGTTCTTTGTAGGGTAGAAAGGCATAACTAGCTGTATGTTTGAACTTCAGGCACATGCACAGTCACATTTTGCCTGTTGTGTACTACCATTTGAAAGTAGCAATAATCCCTTGATCTAAGGGCTGAAGTAAAGAGGTCATTCTTTGCATAGGGTGGGAGAAGGGGACTGACACTGGGGTTATTTTGAGCAATGTCATGTAGGAACCTAAGTACACACATCTGGCCAAAGGAGAGAAAGAGAAAAAGGGTAAGAGAAAGAGAGAGAGGAAAGAAGAAAAAAGTGTGACATCTAAGGAAGTCTTGAAAAGTTTTACAGTGATATGAGCAAATTCGCCGATGACACGAAGATAGGTAGGATAATTGATTCAAACGTAGATGTTAGGGAACTTCAGGAGGATTTAGACAAACTCTACTCTTGGTCAGAAAAGTGGCAGATGCAGTTCAATGTAGATAAATGCAAGGTTCTGAAGCTCGGAAGTGTCCATAACCCTAGCACTTATAAGTTAAATAATGTAGAACTTAGCCATACAGATTGCGAAAAGGACTTGGGGGTTATGGTAAGCAGCAACCTTAAACCAAGACAGCAATGCCTAAGCGTACGTAATAAGGCAAATAGATTACTGGGATTTATATCAAGAAGTGTAAGCAACAGAAGTCCAGAGGTCATACTGCAGTTTTATACATCATTAGTAAGGCCTCACCTAGATTATGCAGCTCAATTCTGGTCTCCATATTACAGAATGGACATAAATTCGTTAGAAAACATTCAGCGTAGGATGACTAAATTAATACATAGCATTAGAAATCTTCCTTATGAAGAAAGATTGAAGACTCTTAAGTTACATTCACTTGTTAGACGAAGAATGAGGGGAGACCTGATCGAAGTGTATAAGTGGAAGATAGGTATTAATAAAGGGATATTAACAAGGTCTTGAGGATATCTCTCCAAGAGAGAACCCGCAGTAATGGATTTAAATTAGATAAGTTTAGATTTAGAAAGGACATAGGAAAGTATTGGTTTGGAAATAGGGTAGTTGATGAGTGGAACAGTCTACCTAGTTGGGTTATTGAGGCTAGGACTTTGGGTAGTTTCAAATTTAGGTTGGATAAGTACATGAGTGGGAGGGGTTGGATTTGAGTGGGACTTGCACATCAGAGCTTATTTCTTGGGTAGCATTGAAAATTGGGTTGGTCAAATGTTTGTTAGTGGGATGAATTGTAAAGGACCTGCCTAGTATGGGCCAACAGGCCTGCTGCAGTGTTCCTCCTTTCTTATGTTCTTATGTTCTTAAAAGTCTGACTGACTTGTCAATAAATTTGATCTTAGGTCAGCATCTCTTTTCATGAAGTCTTAAGGGTTGCAGTGCACACCACATGTGAAGGCAACACAATCTTTGCAGTCACAGCTCCATTGGCATAAGAAGTTCCAGTCAGAATAACCCATATCATTTAGGGAGATTTCCATCTGCTCCCCTTCCCTCAGAAAGAGGTACTTATCTGTGGAGGAACTATGTGGAGAGAAAACTGGGAAATGAAAGCTTGAACATTACCTAATTAATCAGCTTGGTTGAAAAAAAAAAGATAACCACAGTAGATGTAAAAAGGTCATACAAAGTGATTGCTGTTACAAATATTTTTATATTTATATATTAATAATAGTATAACTAAAGGTAGTAGGTTGGTAGACAGCAACCACCCAGAGAGGTACTACCGTCCTGCCAAGTGAGAGTAAAACGAAAGGCTGTAATTGTTTTACATGATGGTAGGATTGCTGGTGTCCTTTTTTCTGTTTCATAAACATGCAAGATTTCAGGTACGTCTTGCTATTTCTACTTACACTTAGGTTACACTGCACATACATGTACAAGCATATACATGCATATATACATACCCCTCTGGGTTTTCTTTTTTCTTTCTAGTTCTTGTTCTTGTTTATTTCCTCTTATCTCCATGGGGAAGTGGAACAGAATTCTTCCTCCGTAAGCCATGCGTGTTGTAAGAGGCGACTAAAATGCCAGGAGCAAGGGGCTAGTAACCCCTTCTCCTGTATATATTACTAAATGTAAAAGGAGAAACTTTCGTTTTTCCTTTTGGGCCACCCTGCCTCGGTGGGATACGGCCGGTTTGCTGAAAGAATAGCATAACTGCCTTTATAGATCACATCCTCTCAATATTATTTAATTATTTTTTCCTAATATTTGAGTTCCCTATGGATTAAACTGTTAGGATATGAAAATTATGATAACTCTGGCGAATGTATTTTCACAAACACAATTTTTCTAACAAGTAAATTCATAAATTAACATAAAGCTTATTATTATACAGTTTATTCAATTATTTTACTGCATACTACATCTCTATACAGTAATAAATTGAATGTCATTCAGTGAAACACTAAGAGCTTGCACTCATTTGAAATGCATTATCGAATTTAAGTGATGGTGACATTGGCTAGCTTTCATGCTATGTCCACAGTAACTTGTTATGTTTAACATCTTGCATGCAGCTTGAAGGCCAGCTCAAGTCTGACCCATTTTAAAAACATACCACTGCACTGTCTTTGATCTAAGTGTAACAGTACAAGAGTGAGTTACCACTTCTGATAACTCGAACCTTTTATTACCGAAAAATAGTTTTGCGCTGATGCAACACAAACAAGGTAAACATTTGACATGTGCTGCTAGCATGGGGGATGCTCTACTTCAAAGAAGAATTGCTCCAAATCCAAAAGTTCTCTTAATGCTTTCCCAGTAATAGTTCTGCCAACCTTCTTTTGTTTTCTCGACTTCACTGTAAGGAAAAAAAAATTGAATAGTAAATAATAAAGCTGTTCATCATTAAAAATGAGTTGCATCTAAATTTCACATTTCCAAGACACTTCAAATCATAAAATTTCTTAACATAACAAGAAACTTCTCTAATTACATTTTATGGAGAAGTACAGCACTTGCACTCTAAAAGAGGGGATTTGGGATTTTTGCCGTTTAGTGACATCTGAACTGTCATATCTACGTGCCTCTGCAAAGACAGCGATAATTGTGCATAACGGTGAAAGCATTTTTTTTTTGGGGTCACCCTGCCTCGGTGGGATACGGCCAGTTTATTAACAAAAAATAATAATAATAGTAATATAGTTTGTTCTCCATGGGGAAAGAGAACAGAATTCTTCCCCCATAAGACATGTGTCATAAGAGGCAACTAAAATGCCAGGAGCAAGGGGCTAATAACCCTTTCTCCTGTAATTATTACTAAATTTAAAAAGAGAAACTTTCATTTTCCTTTCTGGGCCACCCTGCCTCGGTGGGATATGGCTGGTTTGTTTATAGTAGTAATACAGTATGGTATTTATCCCTGTTTTCAGCTGCAAAATCATTTTTATAACAGTCAAATACATAAATGAGGTATGTAATAACCTATTAGACTTTGTTATGAAAAGGCTTGAATTCTCAGACTTACTTATTACCTTTATACTGACATGAAATAGCTTCGTCATATCTATTTTTAAGCCTGTGTATGGGTCAACGAGGTGTGTAACTAACTTTGCACTCTTAAATCCCTGAAAAAGTGTGTGTTCTTAGTCTATTCTGTCAATGCCCTAAAGAATTTTTCATACCATCACCATATGCTCTGGGTCTTGGTTCTTCAATCAACTAGAGGCCTAGCTTTTTCATTTATTCTTCATAGGTCATTCACCATAACTCGAGTACAAATCTCCAACACAGCAGTGATAAAGAGATGCAGCTACCAGCTTCAAGGCATCCTAAAAGACTAGAAAATATAGTGAATTTACTCATCATTACATATTTGTTCCTAAAGGGTCAGATACCCTCAGATCATGGGGAGAGAGCACATCAACTTCTGAAGATGCTAGACAAAAAGATTCATCAGGAAAACCAAGGATCCCAGAGCGGCTAGTTTCTTGTTTCAGCATTGCAAACGTTGCAGCTGAAAGAGGTAACGCCCACTGTATCTTGGGTATGTACCCCAGATGTGAGGAGCTGAATGAGGTGTTTGAATGTGACTACTGATGAACACATTTGTGTACTTGTGATGTAATTCTAACCTAATGTATTTGATATCTAACATCTTTGCACCACCAGCGCATTTTTTGTACCTTGTGAAATGTACTACATAATAAAACATGCATATATATACGGCAAGAGTAGGAATTGTAAAATTTATACTCACTTTGATGGAACCCCTGTTTGAGACAATCGTAGTTCTGTACAGTCATCTTTCTGCTCAATATCTATTGTAACTGTTGAATAGTGCCCATTTGGCCAAGATTTGAAGCGCCACTTTTGTACAATCTGTTTATTCGGTTCCTTAAAAAAAAAAAAAAAAAGCCAGTGGTACTAACATTCTTTCAAAATATCAGACTTTACAAGATGGTTATCCCAGACAAATTACTGTACAGATTTAGGTGGCAAATTTTATCAATAGGGAGAATACAGAAAGATTGTGACAGAGGTGCTAGAAGAGATTATTATTATACCAGTATTAAAAAAATAGGCTAAACCCATAATGATTACACATCTTTACAAGAGAAAGGGGTGCTTACATCAGGAAAAGTGAGGTGTGTACTATTCCTTCAGTATTTTTCTCTAGTGCAATTATGCTGTTACTACCAGGAAAACCAATAATAATTATAAACAATAATAAATGGATGAATAACTAATGCTAATTCAAAGAGCAGAGAAAGGAAAACCAGCACAGCACAAGTTACAAATTTTTTAAGTGTTGCCATTGAAATTATATAAATACTGACAAATTTTTTTTTTATTTTTTATTATCACACCGGCCGATTCCCACCAAGGCAGGGTGGCCCGAAAAAGAAAAACTTTCACCATCATTCACTCCATCACTGTCTTGCCAGAAGGGTGCTTTACACTACAGTTTTTAAACTGCAACATTAACACCCCTCCTTCAGAGTGCAGGCACTGTACTTCCCATCTCCAGGACTCAAGTCCGGCCTGCCGGTTTCCCTGAATCCCTTCATAAATGTTACTTTGCTCACACTCCAACAGCACGTCAAGTATTAAAAACCATTTGTCTCCATTCACTCCTATCAAACACGCTCACGCATGCCTGCTGGAAGTCCAAGCCCCTCGCACACAAAACCTCCTTTACCCCCTCCCTCCAACCCTTCCTAGGCCGACCCCTACCCCGCCTTCCTTCCACTACAGACTGATACACTCTTGAAGTCATTCTGTTTCGCTCCATTCTCTCTACATGTCCGAACCACCTCAACAACCCTTCCTCAGCCCTCTGGACAACAGTTTTGGTAATCCCGCACCTCCTCCTAACTTCCAAACTACGAATTCTCTGCATTATATTCACACCACACATTGCCCTCAGACATGACATCTCCACTGCCTCCAGCCTTCTCCTCGCTGCAACATTCATCACCCACGCTTCACACCCATATAAGAGCGTTGGTAAAACTATACTCTCATACATTCCCCTCTTTGCCTCCAAGGACAAAGTTCTTTGTCTCCACAGACTCCTAAGTGCACCACTCACTCTTTTTCCCTCATCAATTCTATGATTCACCTCATCTTTCATAGACCCATCTGCTGACACGTCCACTCCCAAATATCTGCATACGTTCACCTCCTCCATACTCTCTCCCTCCAATCTGATATTCAATCTTTCATCACCTAATCTTTTTGTTATCCTCATAACCTTACTCTTTCCTGTATTCACCTTTAATTTTCTTCTTTTGCACACCCTACCAAATTCATCCACCAATCTCTGCAACTTCTCTTCAGAATCTCCCAAGAGCACAGTGTCATCAGCAAAGAGCAGCTGTGACAACTCCCACTTTGTGTGTGATTCTTTATCTTTTAACTCCACGCCTCTTGCCAAGACCCTCGCATTTACTTCTCTTACAACCCCATCTATAAATATATTAAACAACCACGGTGACATCACACATCCTTGTCTAAGGCCTACTTTTACTGGGAAAAAATTTCCCTCTTTCCTACATACTCTAACTTGAGCCTCACTATCCTCGTAAAAACTCTTCACTGCTTTCAGTAACCTACCTCCTACACCATACACTTGCAACATCTGCCACATTGCCCCCCTATCCACCCTGTCATACGCCTTTTCCAAATCCATAAATGCCACAAATATTTAAATAAATTAGAAGCACCCTGCCTTGGTGGGAGACGGCCGACTTGTTGAGAAAAAAAAACAAAAAACAAAAAAAAAAAAACATGTATTACAGTACTGTATTAGGACATTTAGAAGTTCTTCACTCACAGGAAATATCACTTCAATACAGAAACTGGAATAAATGGAGGGATATGTTGTGTATCTTTATACATATATGCTTCCAAACTGTTGTGTTCTGAGCACCTCTGCAAAAACAGTGATTATGTGTGAGAGAGGTGAAAGTGTTGAATGATGATGAAAGTATTTTCTTTTTGGGGATTTTCTTTCTTTTCGGGTCACCCTGCCTTGGTGGGAGACGGCCGACTTGTTGAAGAAGAAGAAAAAAAAAATAATAATGGTCAAGAGGTGCAGAAGGACAAGTCCACTACTTATTCGATTGCTGTGTTCTGGAAAAGAGTATGTGGTTGTAAAAAGCCACATATTCCAAACACTAACTTTTGTATAGATCCTCTGCAGTGATGAGAAGCTGGGCTTCATTAAATCTTACAAGGCAACTGTGAGAATTACAGTGGATAATGCAAAGATTGTTCTGGTTTTCTGTTCTGCATGCATACATACGTTTTCTCACGCATTCCAGGCTTCTAGATTCTCCCACATATTACTTATCTTACTGATGGGACTACACATAATCCAGCTTGAGATTCAGAGTCTGATGGCTTTCTTTCTAACTAGACCCTTAATTGTGGTGAAGTCACAGTGGCTAAATTAACACTGCTGTTGGAGTATGCTAGCAATACTGTTATCCACTTCAATTGGTAGAAAAATAAATCTCCCAGGTCAGCACTACTGAATGGTTGTTAGTAATAGGTGGTGCTCTTCTACTACCATTGATAAAGTGCACTTAAATACATAACACTCAACAAGAACTAGGCGAGTGTTTTATGAATTTAAGTGCACCTCTCTTCAAGGAAACCAGGGGTTAAAAACCTATGCTCTAAGTAACCAATGATGACTTATCATTTGGTTTTCTTGTCATGATGATAAATAACAAAACAACAATCTTTGTTAGTAGGTTTTTCTATAAACCCCTGAAGTTTAGCTTATCTCAATCTCTACAGAGTAGGACATCAAGGCAGGGAAGCCAAATATCATATTTCTCATCCACAGTAAACTTAATGGAAGGTTCCACGGAGTTAAAGTTTGGAGAGTAAAACGGTTACGTTCCTGCTTAGGGTTCAATTACCAACACATCGTCCAAACCATGAAGTCCACATGCATTTGTCAGACATTCAGCCAGCATCAGTTTCCTTTGCATGTTATTAATAATAACAGTAGAACAATGTGTATCACTGACATAACTAGGAAAGAGCACTTATCTGGGAGATTTACTGTTCTGCCAGTTGGCAGGAAAATACATAATCCAGTGTAAAGTATGTGAAATGTTATGTGGGAGAACCTTCCAGGTTTTAGCTAAAGAGATTCTACCCTGGCAAGACTCTGATCAGATAAGTAGTAACCCCACATCTAATGACCACTATGATCCTCATGGATTAGCATTTCGTTGGAGTATAATTATAATCACCCTTGACCACTATTTATATCCACTTTATTCCAATATTTGTATTGCATAAAGCTCCTGCAAGTGATATGTCTCAACAAAAATCTTATGCTGCATACATGTCTTCACACAGGTGCAGCTGCTTTATTAGTCTTGTTTGGCATAACAATTCAGAAATTTACATTACATTTTAACATGCTATATGTCAATTTAAGTAATTTTGGTAATGGTTTACAATGAAATGTGAAGACTGTACCTGCCTTTGCCTTAGTTTTGTGCAATATAGATGAATAAAGCTTATCTTTATTGTTAAATTATAAAATGCATAATTTGCCTTATTATTTTAACCAGTTTGAACAAAAGGAAGAATCACCTACCAAGGACTCAAATTCACCCGAAATATTACCACCAAAGAACTCAAACTTGCCTCCTTTTTCAACTCTTAACTTCACATCACCTCTTGTAAAAGCAACCACCATCTGAAAAATATTTTTTTTTTTATTTTACTTGCTTGCCAATACTACAAGCAAACTAAAAAAATTACATCTTTGGTCAAAAAACACTTTTCCAGTCTTATTCAAATTTCCCATAGTTAAAGAAAAAATGAGGTGCATTCACTAGCAGTTTATAAGCACTGCAGTGTTAAATATTTTAAGCCTATATCAACACAGAATTTCTAACTCACTATCCCATCATGTTACTGAGGATGGTAAGTCTACGCTAGTTCTGCACACTGGTGACTGTGATAAAGACACAGGTGTTGACATCACATAGAGAAAGTAATGTACTGATTTCTTCTTTAGCTAGCTTGTAAATAACTAAGGCAATACATTGCTAGGGAGGCAAGAGAAGTCATTCCCTCATGCATTGTCATATAGGTATTTGTTTGATACGAAAGAAGAGAGAGACAAGCAGAGATAATGATAAGGAAAGGAGTGTGTGTTGTACTAACATAATTACAGCATTAAGAGAAAGTTAGTAGCCCTAATGAGTCTAAAATAGTGGTGTTCAAATATACTCTCCAATATGTACTGTACCTTTCATATAATGTCACTATATTTTAACACTTCAATATGGCTTTTTAAAATGAAAATTATTACAAATGTAAAAAAAAAAAAAAAAAAAAAAAAAAAAAAGCAAATTGTTGCCTCAATGTAATAGAAAAGAAGAAAAAACAAAAAAGATGTGTAAAAGAGACGAGATAAACTAGTGCACTTACCTCTCGCTGTGTAAGTGCTCTATAAAGCTCATCTGCTGTGCATTTAAAGGTCTGGCTGACATTGATCTTGGAGGTACTTATCTTGCATCCTAGCTCCATCTTCTGTATATCATTGGTTGTGCTTTTCATCTGAAGAAAAAAAAGTGATGGTCATTTACAGAAGACATTATATAGCTACATTAGGAATACATGTTTTTCCATGGCTACTTTCACCCTCCAAATAGAAAACTACCATGGAAGAATAATCACCATGTGCCAGCAATGAAACATTACAAGATTACAGGATTTGTTACAAGAGCACATCTATGCTTGTGGTCTTCTTTCAATATTTGGTATTCTCAAATTTGTGAAGCACCCAAAAAGTTAACATATACATCTTTAATGCTATTCCAGTTTATTAATTGCACCCTCTGTTTTGTCTGTTGATGATACTATGAATAAATGGTTCTGAAGAATAAAAAATGCATTTCCACATCAGGACTCGATGATCCACGAACAACCATCATACTCCACACAACTATAGATACCCCAGTAAGTATAACCGCATCTCTCACTTTTCCACTAAAGTTTTGCCCCGTCTCCATTTTGCTTGTTGTTTTACTATGACTTGAGCCATCTAGTTGCAGCCTGCTAAATGAACCATCAGTTGACAACCAGTGCAGAACAGCTGGAGAAGATGGCAGTCTCTATGAACCATCAGGCCATTTTGCTGAAATTTGTTTTCCATTTTGCATTTAAGCTCTAATGACCCACTGTGAACTATCACTAAAACCCCAAATCATGGTGGAGGCAGCTGCAGAACAGAGTATGGTATCCAAGAGCCATGTCAAAGAGACAGAAATTCACACAACTACATCAGCCTGGATGCCAGTCAGGCACTGCCAAGACCCTGACAACTGTATGCATAACCATCCACCTGAACAAGCAACATTTGGCAAGAAACCTTAAGTAAGCCCCAAACACAGACTATGTGGATAGCCACCACCAATATTAGGATAGAGATCACTCTGACTGAGGCTTAAAGAGAAAAATATGCAAGGTGGCATAAGCCAGCTCAAGTAAATGAAAGATAACTTTAGAATAAACAGACATTAACTCAACATTAAATCTATTTTCAATTATGAACTTTTAGTACTGAAATATAGTAGTTATAGCTATTTTATGTAAATACGTACTAATTAAAAGGCATGAGAATCTCTTACAGTGGGCAATAATATTCTTACTGCATAACTTACATTGGAGTTGAAGGAAATATCGGTAGATGGTGGGTTGTGTGTTTTAACTGGCTTGGTCACAGCCTGGCCTTTGGTAGGTTTAATGAGATCAACTGCATATTCTGGAAAGAAAAAAAAAGCTATTTGAGTACAATACTATTTCCCTGTATTATTAAAAAATGTGCTCTTAATTTTATACTTTCACTCTTCTTGTTCTTAAAGAAACAATGTTTCTTTACCTAAGTGGCAACTACACCAATATATGAAGCAACCTAAGTGGCAACTATACCAATACAGTAGTACCCAGAATTTTGGCCTTAATTCGTTCCGGAAGGCTGTTTGAGTGCCATTACCAAATGAATTTGTTCCCATAAGGAATAATGTAAATTAGATTAGTCCATTTCAGACCCCAAAAATACACTTACAATAATACAATTACATAATGTTCAAGTTGGGAGCTGTACGAAACTTGGGGTACTGCTGTATATGAAATTAAGGAATTCAACATTACAAATTTACAACCAACAAATATAGCTTTAAATTAACAAGACTTTATTAACACCAGTATGTTATGACACTGACGAGTGAAGATTGTCAGTATGCGTATGCCTTGTAGTATTTACCAGTCGTTTGCTTTGCCCTTAAGTATCGTATTATACAGCTTTTTCACTTTTTCATCACCTAATCTCTTTCTTACTTTGGTGTGAAATTGCCCAAAAGTAGAAAGGTTTCACACAACTGAAGTAGAACTTGCTGAAAGATCAAGTTTAAGCATGACAGAAGTGTGCCATTTCCATTAAGGAATGATGCAGCAGAACTCATTTTCAGTGGTGGCATGTATTTCCGTTTAGGAGTGCTAGGGCTGGCAGGCAGGAAGACCCTCCTCCTCCTCCTCACACATTGGACAACTCCATTGTTTTAACAGTGAAGGGATGTAAACAAACAGCCTTCCATGTGGGTCAATGTATCAAGATGTGTGCCATATGATTTCAGTGTATATCGGTTAGGTTTTTCCTTTTCATCACCCTATTTCATCTGTGTATATGTAATTATAGCACTTTATTTTATAATAATAATAATATCTTTATATCTACAAGTACATGACATGGTATACATGCCTAACTGACATCAATAACATACTACTATATATAGAAAGCCACTTGTTATGCAGAGGTCAGTTTTGTCCCAGGAAGCAACCCACACCAGTCGACTAACACCCAGGTACCCATTGTACTGATGGGTGAACATAGACAGCCGGCGTTAGGAAACATGCCTGATGTTTCTATCCTTGCCGGGAATCGAACCCGGACAGTCAGTGTGTGAAGTGAGAACTTTAGCCACCAGGCCACGGGCCACTGTAAGTTGATATATTAGGGTAGTCTACAAAAATACAAGTTTGAAATTTTATTGTCTCACCTTGTCACTAACTTCCACTTTAAGAAAAAAAAAATCCATGACAAGCTTTAAAAACTTTCCCCCCATTTGGCAGGAATTATCTTTTTTTCTCTAGAAGAAAATGAAATCAAGAGCAGCCAAAACCACTCTTCTGTGCAGCATTAGCACAACAGAAAATAAATTAGAAAAATAAAAATAATAATACAGTGGTCCCTCATTTATCGTCGTTAATCTGTTCTTGGAAGTGCGACGATTATCGAAAAAGACGATTTTCGAATCAATTTTCCCCATAAGAAATAACGTAAATACAATTAATCCATTCCTGACACCCAGAAATATTAAAACAAAAAAATTTTTTAAATGAAATATAGATGTAGTACATAAACAATACAATGGGACATGATGAATGAAACATTAACAGCATAACACTTACCTTTATTGGCGATTCTTCTTAGTGTATGGAAGACTGGAGGAGGAGAGAGATTGCATTAGTTACTCTTTGGAAGGGGAATCCCCTTCTATCAACACCGCAGGTACCAAGTGCTTTTCTGGGGTTACTTCTCTTCTCTGTTTCTTAATGCCACTAGGACCAGCTTGAGAGTCACTGGAGTCCTGCCTCGCAAAATAACTGTCCAGAGAGCTCTGTTTCTGGCATCTCTTTAACACTTCCCTAAAATGGGACAAGACTCTGTCACTGTACAAGTTGCCGATATGGCTTGCAACATCCTTCTTAGGGTGATGTTTCTCCATAAATCTTTCCATCCTACCCCACATTTCAAAAATCTCCTTAATTTCTGAAGGCACCTTCTTCCATCTCTCTTCCTCCTCCTCTGCAGCAAGATTCTGAGCTGCAATCTGTTGCTCTTCCTGCTGAAGCTCTTGCAGCTCCTCAGTGGTTAGCTCTTCGTTGTGGTCCTCCACCAACTCTTCCACATTCTCCAAACTCACATCCAACCCCATGGAACTCCCCAATACCACAAGAAAGTTCACAACTGACAGGCTCATCAGGGTCAGCCACAAACTCTTCAAAATCCCTCTTGTGGACACAATCTGGCCACAATTTTCTCCAAGCAGAGTTCAAAGTCCTGGTAGTCACCCCCTCCCAAACCTTACCTATAAGGCTTATGCAATGGAGGATACTGAAGTGTTTTTTCCAAAACTCTCTTAGGGTCAAGTGAGTGTCTGAGGTTACATTAAAGCACCTTTGAAACATTGCTTTGGTATAGAGTTTTTTAAAGTTTGAAATGACCTGCTGGTCCATGGGCTGGAGGAGAGGAGTGGTATTCGGGGGCAAGAACTTTACTGTGATGAACCCAAACTCCCGCAGAATTAGGTCATCCAAGTTTGGAGGATGAGCAGGTGCACTGTCCATTACTAGGAGGCACTTGAGATCCAATTTCTTTTCCAGGAGGTAATTCTTCACACTAGGGCCAAACACTTCATTGAACCACTCGGCGAAAATTTCCCTCGTGACCCATGCCTTATTATTAGATCTCCAAAGCACACACAATTTACTCTTCATAACATTGTTTTTTTTGAACGCTCTGAGATTTTCAGAATGGTACACTAGTAACAGCTTCACTTTGAAATCCCCACTAGCATTAGCACAGAACATGAACGTCAGCCTGTCTTTCATAGACTTGCGTCCTGGCAGTCCCTTTTCCTCCTGAGTAATGTAGGTTCTCTTTGGCATTTTCTTCCAAAAGAGGCCTGTTTCGTCACAAATGAACACCTGTTCAGGTTTCAGTCCTTCAGCTTCTATGTACTCCTTGAATTCACTTACGAATTTTGTAGCTGCAATTTGGTCCGAACTGGCAGCCTCACCATGCCTTGTCACACTGTGTATGCCACTACGGTTCTTAAATCTCTCAAACCAACCTTTGCTGGCCTTAAATTCACAAATATCAATACTCATTGCAGGTAATTTCTTTACCAGATCATCATGCAACTGCCTAGCCTTTTCACAAATAATCAACGTCATAAGACTATCTCCTGCTAACTGTTTCTCGTTTATCCACACCAATAATAACTTCTCAACCTCTTCGAGTACTGGTGATCTCATTGTTGTCAGCATATTTACCCCCTTTGCAACAACAGCTTCCTTGATTTCCTTTTTCTTGGCCACGATGGAAGATATGGTTGTACGGGATTTGTTATACATTCTGGCCAGTTCGGCCATGTGTATGCCACTTTCATATTGTTCAATGATGTTTTTCTTAAATTCAATTGTATTTCTCACCTTCTTTACCAAAGGCTTGGCACTAGGAGCTTTCTTTGGAGCCATAGTAGCTTACTTAGCACTTGCAAGCACTAAAATGAATGGAATATTATGAAATATTTCGTATGAACACGTGAGGGGACCGTCGCTCACTGGTAAACAATGGCACACTGGCTGGGAAGGGAGACCGAGGCGGCTCAGAGCCGTGAGTACGCGTCCAGGATGAACGATGATTAGCGAGTCAACCGACCATTGGCGAGCCAATGTTTGGACTAAAATAATGCGACGATTTCCGAAAAGGACGACTATCGAGCCCGACTATTATCGAGGGACCACTGCATAAGAATAATGAGGGAGTGGATATTCAAAGTTCTAGAGTATCTCTAAAAGAAGTCCAACCATCACAAAACTTTACACAATTTTTTTTTAGACATAAAAGGAACAGTGATAGTGTGAATGATGGTGAGAGTGTCTTTTTCCGGTCACCCTGCCTTGGTGGGAGACAGCCAGCGGGTTAAAAAAAAAAAAAAAAAAAAACAGTAAAAGGAAAAAGCAAGAGAAATCCAGAAATTAATTTTCTACCTCCTACAGATTTAAGATACAATGGAAAGTGGAAAGGAAATATACAAGTTGCTCAAACTATGGCAGAGTAAGTTCTACCACCAGGTCTTATATTTCAGTATAGAAGTTACAATTATTATTAATAAATACATGTGAAAGTCCAAAACCCAACATGGATAAAAGTAAACCCAATTTAGGAAGTGATTTCTGAAATATATATAATTTCTAATAATCCATACTAACCTTTCTTTAGTGTCTCAATATATTCACGAATCTTCTCCCTAATATTATTGGCACCCTTCTTTCTGAGAAACTCCTTCACTTTGTCCCCAAGTGATCCTCCGGCAGACAGAGTAACATTAACCTGAAGCAATAAAATCAGAACTATTAAATTATCAATTGTTGTAGTCTTAAAGAAACAGTTATTAGAAATAGTCCAAAGGGAAGATTGGCAACGGGCAACTTAAGAGAGTAAATCACCTCAAAATTAGTGTTACTGGTACATGCAATCCAATTTTGATTAAATTAAATTAGGGAACAGGTGCGATTTGAACCCATGGCAAGTAACTTCTAAAACTTGCATACCAGTGTGTTAACCTCTTGGCCAGCTGGCTCTAATAAGACTCATTCAACTAGATATAGTTCTATACACTATAGGAAAGTTAGCATGGGGGCCACACCATGACCACAAATGATGGTTTTTACAAGTGAATCTCACACCAGCGTGGCCAGCCATGCTGGTGTTATACAGCACCTGAGGGAATAGAAAGCATTCAAGCTTATTTCAAGGAATTGGTGCACAGGTCCAATTCCTTAGATCAAGAGCCCCTTGCCAGCATAAAGTATCCTCCCTTAAGGGGTTTCTTGACCAGAACTGTGAACATTAAACAATATTCTTAAAGAGAAAAAGGATTTGAATAATATCACAACTGACATTGTTCCTCATTATGAAAATTCTCATTATCCACCCTGACAGTTTTCCTGGCCTTTATGGCACTTCCTTTACTGCATTCTCTAAATGACATATGACATTATTTTACTCAAATCTTGTACTTGTCCTTTCATTCTACAAGATGGTCCTCCCATATTTATGTCTAATGCTTCTTTTAATTTCTTCATTCTTTCCAAATCTGAGCAGTTGGGATATGTCACAGCTGAACAAGTTATTTTCCACTGGTCACTGGAAAATATGGTTGATATCTGTTTGTAATTTGTGAGTCTCCTACCAAGACAATTTCCATTCGTATTTCGATACTGTCCTGAGGAAGTCACTGTGGCAAAATTTAAGTGAACAGAGGTCTGTTCTCTGCATTTGTTTTACTCTAATTAGGCTTTTTTTATTCATTTATCTCATGCTGTGCCATCAGATACTGTATTTTATTTTTAATGATCATAGAAAAGCTAAAATACAGACAATGACTTACATCAATTTCTTCAGGGTCGTTTTCCTCTGATAAGTTGGGTATGTCTATAGTGCCTTTGATATCCTTTTCAGGATCCTCAGTCACTATGGCAGTCCAATCCAAATGCACCACCCACTCATAGAAGAATATAAGTTTACCTTTGCGGTTACTAGCAGTGGCTTCACCTTCACATTTTGTTAATTCCTTTATTGTAATTATACCTGAAAGTCAAAGAAACACATTAATTTATTTGCAGTTTTTTAAAAAGTGGAAAAAAAAAAAAAAAAAAAAAATGGATGGCAATGCTACTCTAGTAATCACAGGACAATAATGTCTATCAAAAAAACAGTTTCCTAACAAACTGAAGCACCATTTCATTGCCTGAACACAAAATATGTTACTATTTGCTTACTATCTTGTTTCAAGCTGAAGCATCCCTTGAGGTACCACAGTAGATCATATTTATTAAAATTTTTAACCCTTAAACTGTCCAAACATAGATCTACGTTCACGTGCGTAGCACTCCGAAAGTAGATCCACTTTTTTTTACATTTGAAAGCACGTAAAAAAAACGTAGATCTACGTTCGGAGCACTACGCAAGTGAACGTAGATCTACATTTGGACAGTTTAAGGGTTAAAAGAATATCAACAAGTGTTGACAAAGTTTATGTTACTAGCACAAACCTACGGGTTCAATATCACACTTCTATGTATATACAGTACAGTGGACCCCCGCTTAACGATCACCTCCCAATGCGACCAATTATGTAAGTGTATTTATGTAAGTGCGTTTGTACGTGTATGTTTGGGGGTCTGAAATGGACTAATCTACTTCACAATATTCCTTATGGGAATAAATTCGGTCAGTACTGGCACCTGAACATACTTCTGGAATGAAAAAATATCGTTAACCGGGGGTCCACTGTACATGTATTATTCTTATGCAGGCTATTTCCCACCCTTAACGGGTGGCCCACATGTATATTCTTCAGGCGCATCAAATTACTACCAGTAAATACTTCCTTCTTGAAGGAGCCCCTGGCAATCTGTTGAGAAATTAAGTATTGTGGTGAACATCAAGAGGACTACAGTACCATCAGTAAGTACATATGTACTATATACAGAATGGAAATAAATGGTATAAAATACCGACACAATGGAAATATAAACACATATGCAGTTTAATGTGATCCTTTATTGACAACATTTCGCCCACACAGTGGGCTTTCTGTTTGTGACTTGAAAAAGCCCACTGTGTGGGCAAAATGTTGTCAATAAAGGATCACATTAATCTGCATGTGTGTTTATATTTCCACTATATACAGAAAATGAAGAAATACATAAGCATTCCATAAATGGCAAACTAAATTTTTAAACCACATTAATATAATTTTAAGGAAAATTAATTACAACAATGTAAAATAACATCCAACAACCTTTTATTTTATGCTACAGTGTGTAGAATAAGGTTTTAATCACAGATTTAATTTTGGAAACATTCAGCACTTATGTAGGTATCAACACTGTAAGGCAAACCTTACCTAATCCTGGTTCTTCAATGATCATGCCCTCAAACAAAGACTTCAGTTTCTCTTTACTCCAGCCACTGGCATTCTTCTCCGACCTTCAGGGATGAAACAGTCCTCATTAATAGAATTTTTACACAGCATGCTTTATTTACTTATCTATTATAGTTATGTCTTGACTGCTTGAGAGAAATTAAAATTAAATGACAATTAACTAATTCTAATACTAAAATAAAGAATTGTTAATGTACTACTGTAATTTATATAAATTATGGCAAAATGTGTCAAGATCTTACGCTATATCAAGCAGAAATGAAAATTATTCCACGTTATTTAATGAGTATTAAATGCAAGCTGTGATTTCGTGTATAGGGCAAGGAGGAATAACATCTTGTAGGAGTGAGGAAGAGCCAGTTGTGAGTGTGGGGGAAGTTCGTGAGGCAGTAGGTAAAATGAAAGGGGGTAAGGCAGCCGGGATTGATGGGATAAAGATAGAAATGTTAAAAGCAGGTGGGGATATAGTTTTGGAGTGGTTGGTGCAATTATTTAATAAATGTATGGAAGACGGTAAGGTACCTAGGGATTGGCAGAGAGCATGCATAGTTCCTTTGTATAAAGGCAAAGGGGACAAAAGAGAGTGCAAAAATTATAGGGGGATAAGTCTGTTGAGTATACCTGGTAAAGTGTATGGTAGTATTATTATTGAAAGAATTAAGAGTAAGACGGAGAATAGGATAGCAGATGAACAAGGAGGCTTTAGGAAAGGTAGGGGGTGTGTGGACCAGGTGTTTACAGTGAAACATATAAGTGAACAGTATTTAGATAAGGCTAAAGAGGTTTTTGTGGTATTTATGGATTTGGAAAAGGCATATGACAGGGTGGATAGGGGGGCAATGTGGCAGATGTTGCAGGTGTATGGTATAGGAGGTAGGTTACTGAAAGCAGTGAAGAGCTTTTATGAGGAAAGTGAGGCTCAAGTTAGAGTATGTAGGAAAGAGGGAAAGTATTTCCCAGTAAAAGTAGGCCTTAGACAAGGATGTGTGATGTCACCGTGGTTGTTTAATATATTTATAGATGGGGTTGTTCTAGGTAGTAGGTTGGTAGACAGCAACCGCCCAGGGAGGTACTACCGTCCTGCCAAGTGAGTGTAAAACGAAAGCCTGTAAGTGTTTTACATGATGGTAGGATTTCTGGTGTCTTTTTTTCTGTCTCATGAACATGCAAGATTTCAGGTACGTCTTGCTACTTCTACTTACACTTAGGTCACACTACACATACATGTACAAGCATATATATACACATCCCTCTGGGTTTTCTGCTACTTTCTTTCTAGTTCTTGTTTACTTCCTCTTATCTCCATGGGGAAGTGGAACAGAATTCTTCCTCCGTAAGCCATGCGTGTTGTAAGAGGTGACTAAAATGGCAGGAGCAAGGGGCTAGTAACCCCTTCTCCTGTATAAATTACTAAATTTGGAAAGAGAAGCATTTGTTTTCCTTTTTGGGCCACCCTGCTTCAGTGGGATACGGCCAGTTTGTTGAAAGAAGAAGAAAAGATGGGGTTGTAAGAGAAGTAAATGAGAGGGTCTTGGCAAGAGGCGTGGATTTAAAAGATAAAGAATCACACAAAGTGGGAGTTGTCACAGTTGCTCTTTGCTGATGACACTGTGCTCTTGGGAGATTCTGAAGAGAAGTTGCAGAGGTTGGTGGATGAATTTGGTAGGGTATGCAAAAGAAGAAAATTAAAAGTGAATACAGGAAAGAGTAAGGTTATGAGGACAACAAAAAGATTAGGTGATGAAAGATTGGATATCAGATTGGAGGGAGAGAGTATGGAGGAGGTGAATGTATTCAGATATTTGGGAGTGGACGTGTCAGCGGATGGGTCTATGAAAGATGAGGTGAATCATAGAATTGATGAGGGGAAAAGGGTGAGCGGTGCACTTAGGAGTCTGTGGAGACAAAGAACTTTGTCCTTGGAGGCAAAGAGGGGAATGTATGAGAGTATAGTTTTACCAACGCTCTTATATGGGTGTGAAGCATGGGTGATGAATGTTGCAGCGAGGAGAAGGCTGGAGGCAGTGGAGATGTCATGTCTGAGGGCAATGTGTGGTGTGAATATAATGCAGAGAATTCGTAGTTTGGAAGTTAGGAGGAGGTGCAGGATTACCAAAACTGTTGTCCAGAGGGCTGAGGAAGGGTTGTTGAGGTGGTTCAGAGATGTAGAGAGAATGGAGCGAAACAGAATGACTTCAAGAGTGTATCAGTCTGTAGTGGAAGGAAGGCGGGGTAGGGGTCGGCCTAGGAAAGGTTGGAGGGAGGGGGTAAAGGAGGTTTTGTGTGCGAGGAGCTTGGACTTCCAGCGGGCATGCGCGAGCGTGTTTGATAGGAGTGAATGGAGACAAATGGTTTTTAATACTTGACGTGCTGTTGGAGTTTGAGCAAAGTAACATTTATGAAGGGATTCAGGGAAACTGGCAGTAACTGCACTCTGAAGGACAGGTATTAATGTTGCAGTTTAAAAACTGTAGTGTAAAGCACCCTTCTGGCAAGACAGTGATGGAGTGAATGATGGTGAAAGTTTTTCTTTTTTCGGGCCACCCTGCCTTGGTGGGAATCAGCCAGTGTGTTAATAAATAAAAAAATAAATGCAAGCTAGAACAAAGGTACAGGTAGGGTCTGATCAGCCAGATGTCAGATATGTAGGTTCATGAACAGCAAGCAGCAACAGCCTTACTGATCAGGCAGTTATTAAACTAACAAGTAAATGAACTCTTAAAACAAGCTACAAACAGCTTCCTCCCTTGACCAAAGGTGTGTTTGCCTGCTATGCTAACCTAATTTATGGGAGGTGAAATTCTAGTTCATGTCCTGCCTAATAACTTTGGCTCAAAAGACATGATGTAGCCCAAAAGCTACAGCTTGTGTTCTCTACTGCCATATTACAAACATGGAGGGGGAGCACTAAACTCCTAAGGATCTTACAGAACCTGTAAACATGGGAGGTAATGAGGTTCAGTCCAAAGATAGGTTCAATTCCATGGATCAAGAATCCCCTCACTAGCATCAAGGTGCTTTCCTTGAAAGGCCCATACCATTAACCAACCAGCATGGTATCCAATCAAACCCCATGGCTATAGTTATAGGCAAATTAGAATTTCTTCACAGAATTCACATCTACACCTTCTTTTCCTTTCCTCGTGCTCACACACCCTCACCATGTTCAGCATGCATCTCACACCACTCAGACCCTAAACAGTCAACAAACATGCAGGTATTTATTTACTGCTATCTAAACATGGGTAGTTGTAAGAAGACTTGCCCATACATCATGACTAGCTTGGGGAGTGAGCCTGGATCCTTTCAGTTATGCTCTGAATCTCTATCACTAAGCTATGATGTTAGAACAACTGATACTCATTTATGCAGATAGGCAAGTTTTATTTTTTAGAGCAAACATATTATACAACTTACAAGTCATTTGTATCACATACTTTGAATAAAAATATACAAAAAATGACATGAAGACATAAAATAGAATATCCCTAGAATTTCTCAATAGTATTATTAACCAAGAAAGTTAGTAACCCTAAGAAAGTCAAGGAAAGTGACATCTTCTCAAGATATAACCAACAATAGTCAGCTAACACTGAGATATCTATTTACTGTGTGGTGAACAAGAGCAATAGGTATGAGAAAAGATGCCCAACATTTTCATTTGCCCCCAAGATTGAACTCAAGTCCTTGGGTTATAAGTGTCAGGAACAACCACTGAGAACATAATGGTGAAGCACTATAGGCCTACTAACCTATGCTAGGCAGGTCAAAAAATATATCCAACCACACCCATTCTATGTACCCATCTAACCTCTATGTAAAACTACCCATAGTTTGACTCCATGATGCTATGCCAATGCAGTACTCCCAAATCTAAATCTGTCCAACTTTAAATTCAATGCTGCAAGTCTTGTCTTTGTTAGATATTCAGCAAGCTTATCTAAATATCCCTTTATTATTTTTTGGTTTCCATTTACACACTTAAATAAAATCTTCCCCTTCTCCAATTTTAAGTCTTTCCAGAGAGTTGAAGTTCAATGCCTCCAGCATATCTTCATAGAAAAGGTTTCTGATACATGGCATAAACTCTGTCATTCTCCTCTGCATATTTTCCAGCACAGTTATGTCCACTCTGTAATATGGAAACAGGAACTGAGTAGCATAATCTAAACGACGCTGTACTCGAGGACCCCAATGGAAATCCAAGGACCCCAAGGGAAATCCAAGGACCCCAATGGAAATCCAAGGACCCCAAGGGAAATCCAAGGACCCCAAGGGAAATCCAAGGACCCCAATGGAAATCCAAGGACCCCAAGGGAAATCCAAGGACCCCAATGGAAATCCAAGGACCCCAATGGAAATCCAAGGACCCCAAGGGAAATCCAAGGACCCCAATGGAAATAAGTCACTGACTATTTTGGGTTATCTTCGGTAATTTACACTATGTATGATAATTATACTTATGTTTACCTATGCCTAAATAAACTTACTTATCAAGGATATAAGAGGCTGAAGTATGACATAATACAGTTAGATAGGTCAGAGAACTTACCAGTGCCAGTTGTTAACATTAGTAGCATCGGGTCGTTCCTCAACAATCCACCTGGGGTCACCTTCTCCCCACTTGGCCATTACGGGTCAATTAGTGTATGTAGCAGGTAAAATCAGCAGGTCAGACCGGGGTCAGAGGACCGGCGTGATATCCACCTGCTATTACTCCTTGATAATTCGTAATTGAGGCTTTTTCCGCCCTGTAATATATCCCTTAAGGCTTCCTCTGGCGATAATATCTGCCAGATATATAGTGCCGAAGACCGGTAGTCAGGGTTAAGAGGGAAAAAAGAGGATACTGTTCCAGTGGAGGGATGTACAGTGACTGCCAGACAATGTTTACCTCCAACCAGGGATCCCGAGGCGAATATTCCAGAATAAACTACAGACACTATATATATAACTTTATGCTGCGTGTCTTATTATATAAAATATATATAAGTATGCGTATTCTTATAAATGCGGGTTTTGATACCGCATACAGCGAAGATGACAAAAAATAATGTTAAACTTTATCGGTATTTGCAGGTATGTCACCTCAATATACACATGTATTGTCTTGTATTCAGTATTTCTTAAACTGATTTACAAAATATAAAATTATTAAGTGGTAAATTAATTGCGTCGTGAAAGAAAGAAATTGTATAAGAAGTCACAAAGAACACCTAACTAGAATGTATGAGAACCTTGCAAGTTCTGAAACACTAAAATGTTGAACTTATTTTATATATAGAGAGCTCGAACTTATTTTCCCTTAATAGTGCTTTGTTCTAATAGTCTGCGAATTTTCTTAGCAAAATTACACATTTTTTCATAAACATACTGTAATTAGATATATCGCTATGTGCGGATGCCATTTACCTAAAACTTGAAAACCTTCAGCGGGTCGAGGACTGTCTGTCTTATTCCTATTGTGGTCCTTCAGTCTTGTCCCCCAGGATGCTACCCACACCAGTCGACTAACACCCAGGTACCTACTTACTGCTAGGTGAACAGGGACAGGAACTGTAAGGAAATATACCCAACTATATGACTCGGACTCTATCTTGGGGCGAGGGGAGATGTTAGACATGTTTGCTAACAAACATTTTATCTGGGTGTTTGCTGGAAATTGTGGGTTGCATCATGGGAAGAAGACCCAAGATCTTCAATAGAATGTCTCACTGACTGGCTTTAGCAGAATTACTAGTCCTGGTTAATAATCTGCCTAGCCTTACTTTTCTACCATGATATATTTCACAAGAATGGTTTGTCATACTCCTTCACACAATACCTGGAGTTTACCTGGAGAGAGTTCCGGGGGTCAACGCCCCCGCGGCCCGGTCTGTGACCAGCCCTCCTGGTGGATCAGAGCCTGATCAACCAGGCTGTTACTGCTGGCTGCACGCAAACCAACGTACGAGCCACAGCCCGGCTGGTCAGGAACCGACTTTAGGTGCTTGTCCAGTGCCAGCTTGAAGACTGCCAGGGGTCTGTTGGTAATCCCCCTTATGTATGCTGGGAGGCAGTTGAACAGTCTCTGGCCCCTGACACTTATTGTATGGTCTCTTAACGTGCTAGTGACACCCTGCTTTTCATTGGGGGGATGTTGCATCGTCTGCCAAGTCTTTTGCTTTCGTAGTGAGTGATTTTCGTGTGCCTGTCATACTTCACACAGATATATGAACAAATTATTGAAGACATGACACCGAGAGCACGACTCCTTGTACCTGTACCCTGTACATATAAATAGGCAATTACAAATAAAGAATGCTATAGAATCCATATTGTTCATGGAGCGCTAGGGAAACAGGAGGCAATCAAATTCAAAGGAAAGACAAAGTAGTTCCAATTCTTGGAATCAAGAGTCACCATTAACTCTCGTGAAGAAAGCAAATAAGTAATTACACAGTTCCATGTCGTATTTTCCTAATACTAAATCCAATTAACAAAACGTGTTTCGTCCAATGTCTCTCACTAGTTGTATGTACTCAGCATTTGTGAGGATGGTCTTATACCGTCTCTATAAAATCAAAGCATCTGTGTCATCCCCCCAGGTAATGGATTCATGCTTGGAGAAATGTGTTTCCTTGAAGCACATTCCTTGAACTACCTTCCTTGATCTTAAATCCGCATTTTATATTGCCAAAGGACGTGTTATCATAAATTAACTTTTCAGAACGTGTTCAACTGGATGGCTTCACCTGTAGATCAAATGTTGCATGTCAAAAGCTCTTTGCTATTCTAGGGTAATAAAAATGTAACTAAAGATTCTGAACTAAGCGTCCCACAGCGAGGTGTCCAAAATCCCAACTTGGTTTAGCATTTCAAACAATTCTTTACTAAATTCTTTTCCTTTGCAACCTCATCTTTTATTTGATTAACTTTACTGATATGATTCACGTCACCGGATCTGTCAACACTCAAAATATCCTGGAGTTTACCTGGAGAGAGTTCCGGGGGTCAACGCCCCCGCGCTCCATTCTGTGACCAGGTCTCATGGTGGATCAGGGCCTGATCAACCAGGCTGTTACTGCTGGCTGCACACAATCCAACGTACGAGCCACAGCCCGGCTGGTCAGGTACCGACTTCAGGTGCTTGTCCAGTGCCTGCTTGAAGACAGCCAGGGGTCTATTGGTAATCCCCCTTATTGAACATTAAAATGGTATAAAATACCGACAGGTTGTTAGGTAAGACACATATGCAACAGTTAGGTATCTTTATTTCGAAACGTTTCGCCTACACAGCAGGCTTCTTCAGTCGAGTACAGAGAGGCACAATCTGCAGGATCCAACTTCCCAACAGAGGCAAAATCTGCAGGATCCAGCTGCGCTGTTGGTCTCAGTTTATGTAACCAGATGCAGATAACTTGAACTTTCGGTCCATCTATTTGGATTTGCAGTAATTAAGCGTTGTCGCCAATACAAAAAGGCTACGAGCGGTTGTGGCAGGGTTCCACCCAGGGGCGGATCTACCATGAAACTAAAGCTTCAGGGCCCCTAATCCCGGAGGGGCCCCAGAAGCCACTTTAGTCCACATTGTTTAAAAATTTTGGGTCTACTGTATGAGAAGGAATTGCGAAGGGCCCCTCATAACAGTTCAAGCTTTAGGGCCCCAAAAATGTAGGTCTGCCACTAGTTACACCCCAAACATGGTGCTAAAACCAGAATTGTTATATGTAGTATATCATAATATGATCCTTTGGTGACTATGCCGGACTTGAACTGATGTCTTAATAAACTGCTTGGAGGACTTGAAAAAATGCAAAGCAAAACGATGCGAATCATGCTAGGAAATCTATTAACTACCAAAATACTTGCCAAAAAAAAAAAAATCATATTCCAACCTTCATAGACTTTTTGAAAGTAATGTCCTTACTGGAAATATGCTCAGGCAAACTCTCCTCTAGCCCTTGAACAGAAGCCATCAAAACTTTCTTCGGAATTTTTCCAAACGAATCAAAACCTGCAACTGACTACCCAATGAATGAGCTACACAGTCTCCAACGCTAGACCAGCTGCGGCTCGCCAAGCTGCTCTCTTCGGCTTCCCAGACAATATTGGGTTTCATTGTCATTTTTCCTAAAATTTTATATTAATAACCTATAGTAGTATAGTATGTACCAATATTAGAATATATATATATATATATATATATATATATATATATATATATATATTATATATATATATATATATATATATATATATATATATATAATATATACATATATATATATATATATATATATATATATATATATATATATATATTATATATATATTATATATATATATGTATATATATATATATATATATATATATATATATATATATATATATATATATATATAATATATATATATATATATATATATATATATATATATATATTTCAACACACCGGCCGTATCCCACCGAGGCGGGGTGGCCCAAAAGGAAAAACGAAAGTATATATATATTTGTGTGTACTCACCTAATTGTACTCACCTAATTGTGGTTGCAGGGGTCGAGACTCAGCTCCTGGCCCCGCCTCTTCACTGATCGCTACTGGGTCCTCTCTCTCTCTCTCTCTGCTTCCTGAGCTTTGTCATACCTCTTCTTAAAACTATGTATGGTTCCTGCCTCCACTACTTCACTTGCTAGGCTATTCCACTTGCTGACAACTCTATGACTGAAGAAATACTTCCTAACGTCCCTGTGACTCGTCTGAGTCTTCAGCTTCCAGTTGTGACCCCTTGTCCCTGTTTCCCGTCTCTGGAACATCCTATCTCTGTCCACCTTGTCTATTCCTCGCAGTATCTTGTATGTCATTGACTTACGTAAAGCTTTTGATACAGTTGACCATGACTTGCTCCACGTAAAATTGTCACACTATGGTATAAGAGGGCACTCCCTCAACTACCTCAAGTCATACCTCAGCAACAGAAGCCAATATGTGTATGCAAATGGGGCAAACTCCTCTGCACAACCAATTACAGTTGGTGTCCCACAGGGAAGTGTCCTTGGCCCTCTTCTCTTTCTCCTATACATAAATGACCTACCAAATGCTTCGCAATTACTCAAACCCACACTATTTGCAGATGACACTACATACGTCTTCTCCCACCCGAGCCCAGTCACGCTAGCCAATACTGTAAATACCGAATTACAGAAAATATCTACCTGGATGAGAACTAACAAACTTACACTAAACATTGACAAAACCTACTTCATTCAGTTTGGTAACAGAGCTACAGATGTCCCTCTTAACATAATGATAAACGGATCACCTATCACAAAGCTAACAGAGGGAAAATTCTTAGGAATCCACCTTGATAATAGACTCAAATTTCATACACATATACAACAAATTTCTAAGAAAATTTCCAAGACTGTAGGCATACTATCGAAGATACGGTACTATGCTCTACAGTCAGCCCTCCTGGCCCTATATCACTCTCTTATTTACCCCTATCTCACCTATGGAATTTGTGCATGGGGCTCAACAACAAGTAACCATCTCAGACCACTAATTACCCAACAAAAGGCTGCAGTTAGAATGATAACAAATTCTCACTATAGGCAGCACACTCCACCAATATTCAATACACTAAACCTCCTCACCATACAAAACATCCATACTTACTACTGCACCTATTACATACATAGAACACTTAACTCTGATATTAACCCTCCCCTCAAACATCTCCTTGCCAACCTCAACAGAACACATGACCATAACACAAGGCACAGATCACTCTTTGATGTTCCTCGTGTCCATCTCACACTATGTAAAAACTCAATGCACATAAAAGGCCCTAAAATCTGGAATTCATTACCTGTAAATATAAAAGAAACACTACCTGTTTATAAATTCAAGTCTCTTCTCAAAGATCACTT